TGACAGGGCTGGCACTTGCTGTTCTAACTCACATGATTGCTCTCACATGATTGCTTTGATCTAATCCCAGGACTGAAGTCATCTTGAGCAGATACTGAGCTATCCCTGCCTTGAATCTCAAAAAAAAAAGAGCTTTCCACAGTACAAACCCCAACCAGCATCAGGCTCACAGGGCTTTTATTTATTTTTGCAGATTGTGAAATGGAAGGGTAAATATTACTGTTGGCAATCACTCCCCAGCCTGTGTGAGCCTCCTGTTCCTCCCTGAGCTCCTCCAGGGAGCCTGAGAGCTGCCCAGACCTCTCTCACATGGGCACAGCCCCCTGAGCAGCCCTGACCTATTGTCTCATCCTGCTCTGTGAATCCCAGAGCATCCAAAAAGTTCTGCAGCACAATTCAGGACTGAATCAAAACCACAAAGATATTCTCCTCTGGCCTCGTGCAAAGGAATCCAACAAGACCAAACAACACCTCTTCTTTTTGACCCATTCTGGTCAAAAGTGTCGCCCCATGACCAGGCAGGGAAATGAAACCCAAAGTGCTGAACCCTGTCTTGAATGTTTCATATTTTATTTTCAGTTCCTGACCCCTGATGCTCCCTGCAGACTCCTGGCAGGTGGGGTTTGTCCAGCTCACCCTTGGTGCTCTGAGCAAACCATGGGCAGCACAGGGCAAGCCAAGACCAGAGGGTTTGGGGGAAAATAAAGCTAAAACAGGAGGGAAACAAAGCAGTGCTGGTCAGAATTCTGTCACCTCTGACGGCTTTGGGGCAGCTCTTCACCACCATCACAAAATGAACTGTCTCAGAGCCTGGCTGAACATCTGCAGAGCAAACTGATGGGAATCCTGCTAGGAGCAGTTCCTGAAAGTCTCAGCTGAACCTGGCTTCCCTTAGGAAAAGCCTAGAACACCCATCTGCAGGGAAAATGTGACTGAAAGCCACTATTTGTTTCCATTAACACAACAGCCTCCAAGATGGGATTTCTTTTAAACACAAAAGACAAGGAGGAGCAAACTGATTAAAAATAGGTCAGCAGCAGACTCTGGAACATCCTTGGGAGGGCTGAAATGGAACACAGCCCTGGAAGCTTGAAGCACATGAGCAGTGCAGGAATGGGGAATGCCAGGCTCTTTGGTCTGACTTCCATCAAAAAGAAAAGCCACAGAAATGGAGGTGCTGGTGCAGGGCACAGCACGTCAGGTCTGAAATCACCCCGTGCTCAGGTTGTCACGAGGGAAGGGAGGGAGGGAGGAAGAAGAGGAGGAAGGTTTGGGGGTAGAAAAAGGGGGAGGCAAGGGAAGTTTAAAAAAAAAAATAAAAAAAAAATCTCTGCCTCAGCAAAAGTTTTCATTAAAATTTTAGACAAATGATCTCTGTGTCCTTCTCCCATGCTGCCTGGGGCTCCATGCTATTTCTATGCAAATAACAACCTCGTGGTTTATATCTTATTATTTCCACCGGAGCTGCGGCGACATGACCCGAGACGTGTGTGAGGTAGAGACAGCGACAGAGAGAGAGGGAGAGAAAGAGAGGGAAGGGAGGGAGGGAGATGGAGTGGCTGCTCGCTGAAGTGTGAAAAAATATTGTCAGGAGTGAGCAGCAAGAACAAAAAAAAAAAAAAAAAAAAAGAGAGAGAAAAAAAAAAGGAAAAAATTGCAGGGATAACGTGTTTATTTCAGCCCCTCTCCCCATGTGAACCAGCATCTTTTAAAATTCATTGGGCATCAGGCGATCATGCACAATCCATCTGCTTTCACTTTATCATTTGCATTTCATGCCTCCTGGCTTTTGATGTGCTGATACTTTGATGCAGTCAGGAGACGCGCATTATCATTATTTCAATTTGCAGGGGGGTCAGCGGGCTCGGCACAGGCGCGGCACACGCTCACCCCGAGCAGGGAAATGGCATTTCCACCCCTCCATCCACCCCCTGCTGAAATGCACTGGGGAGACAAAGGGGCCAGCTGAAACACGGCCCCGTGTGCCCTGTGCTGGCACCTGGGGCATGGCACCTTCACCTGGCCATGGGGACAAAGCTACACCATGGAGCCCTGCCCAGCCCTGGCGTGCTCCCTGCCAGGGAAGGGCTGCAGGGTGCTCTAAGCCAGCTGTGTCCCCAGGATGTGCCCTGTGCTCACCAGCAGCACGTCAGGAGCCAAGCCCAGAAGCCACCAGGAGCTGCAGCTCCAAGGGACACTGACCTTGAGCTCACCATCTGAGTTAGAGGTCACCCCTGGCTTTGGCAGCTGGACCTTTCCCTCTACACCTAAACCCTCAGGCTGCTTTTACATAATGATAATGAACAAGACCAGCAACAGCTCTGGCTGCACATAATGTTTGTCACCATTCCCCTCTGCTCCCTTTGTAAATTAGAAAGAATCCGGCGTTTCGCAGGGAAAAAAATAAAACTAAACAACTTCCCAGAAAGCCCTGCCTGCTCTCTGAAAGCCCAATTGTCTCCACTGCTGCAGGAACAGTTTTGTGCTGCATGTTCTGCTGGCGGAGAGGAGACATTTTGAAGATGTGTTTGCAGACAACAAGAAGTGTCAGCTTTGTCCTGCACCCTCTAGGAACACACAGATGTAAAAGTCAGCAATGGAAAAACTGCCCCAGATCTCTGGCACCTAAAGAGAAGCTAAAGGTGGCAGTTTCCAGGTATTCACCTTTGTTTCAGCCCCTGCCAGCCCTGACTCCCCAGCTCCTCCAAGGGAATGAGCAGCACCAAGGCTGACCCACTGCACACAGAACAGCCACAACAGGCTCCCCTTTCTGGAGCCTGAGCCCTGGGAACAAGCAGGAACACACCACACCCCACAGCCAAACAGCCTCTGTGCTCCTGCAAGGGGACACTTTGCACAACTGGCCCCTGGCTGGCACTGACCTCATCTCTGGCCCCAAAAAATTCAAAGTGGCCCTCTAAATCCCAGGGAGAAGTGTTTAACAGGCTGCAGGGAGCACAGGGTGAGCCTGAAGGCACTGCATGGCCAATGGATCAGCATCCACTGCTTGTTTCAGATCCTCCAGAGGATCAGCCAGACTGAGCTCAGACATTGCAGGCTAGCCCTGGACACCAGCTCCCTGCTTCAGACCCACTTCTGGGACACAACTGCAGCTGGATTCCTCCAGGAAGCCCTGAGCAGAACTGCAGGGACTGGAAACTGAGGATCCTCTGAAGCAGCAGGTATCACACACACCCAGGAGTGAAAGCTGGAGAGGATGCAACACGTTCCTCCCTCACCTTCAGGCAGATAGAGGTTCAGAGCTGACACAAGCATACCAACATCCCAGCAGAGCAGGGAGGAGGGAAAGGGACACACGGGATTGCTGAGCACACTGGAATTCTCAGGAAAGGGACACACGGGATTGTTGAGCCCACTGGAATTCTCAGAAAGGGACACATGGGATTGCTGAGCCCACTGGAATTCTCAGGAAAGGGACACACGGGATTGTTGAGCCCACTGGAATTCTCAGGATGGGATAAATCCTCCCAGGAAGCAGCTCCTTCTGCCTGTGCCTGCTGGCAGAGGTCAGGTGCTTAATTCAGTCCATACCCTTAATTTTTAAGTGCCTAAAATTTAGTGGGATTAATGGAGTCCTGTGCAAACAGGCACTGAGTGCAGGGGCAGGGAGTGCAGTTAAACCTGGAAGAGGGGGGAGCTGAACAGCCTGGCCCTGCCATCTGGGAAACTCTGCAGGGCCCCGAGCCCCAGCAAGTGACAGCTGGAGCCAGGCAACTCACTGCACTCCAGCAAGCACTAAACTGACTCAATTTCTTTTTAAAGGCTGGATCTTCAAATGCCTCTTTTCCTCCCATTGATGCAGGTGTGTGTGATGTGTGTAAGAGATCTAACTGAGGGTGCTGCAGCCTAGAGTTGATAGGATCAATGCTTCATTTTCTGCAGAGCCCCCTTTATTCAGGAGAATAATTCAACAAGAGCCTGTTTTCCTTTATCTCCCATTGTCAGGCAGGCACTCCTGGAAACACAGCTTGCCATGGAGTACAGGCACCCCAGGTGCTGAGAGTGCCTGAGAACAAAGCTGCTCGATGGGGAAGGGCACTCACAGCACACAGCCCCAACTCCAGGGAAACAAAGCCCTCAGGGACAGCCATGGAGCAGAGTGGGCTGGGAGCTGTGTCTGCACCAGGCTGCAGCCTGGGGGATTAATGGGCTTGGGGCAGCAAGGGGGAAAAATCTGCCTCTGGAGTGGGGGGAGAAGAAAAGAGGCACTTTAGCAGTGAGGAGGCTGTAAGTTTTCTTTGTAACAGCCCCAGTTATTCCTCCTGTCCCCACAGCTGGGATTTCCATCAGGAGAGCTCGCTCCCAGCCTGGAAAATCAGCGTCCAAGCTCCCCAGAGCTAACACAATGCTGGGGCTGCCTGGAATTCAGAGAACTCTGGGCCATGTATTTTGGAGCAGGAACTTCCAGACCCTGTGACCAGCCCTGGTTCCCCTCACAGCCCTCAGAGGGTGGGAGAAGGCCCTGCCTGGGATCCAATCCGTGCCCACAACTGTCGCAGACATCTTTTTATGGAAAATCCTTTCTTTAGGACTTTTTCCTCCTGAGAAGCTGAGAGGCCTCAGGAACACAATGTAAACAATGGTTATCTTCTGCTGTGGAATGCAACAGGTGGATCTTTGATTGGCCCATCTTAGATGTTTGTAATTAATGGCCAAGCACAGCCCAGCTGGCTCAGACAGAGAGTCTGAGACAGCTGCCTTTGTTATCATTCTTTCTGATTCTATTCTTAGCTTAGCCAGCCTTCTGAGATGAAACCTTTGCTTCTATTCTTTTAGCATAGTTTTAATGTAATATATACCATAAAATAATAAATCAAGCCTTCTAAAACATGGAGTCAGGTCCCCGTCTCTTCCCTCATCCTAAGACCCCTGTGAGCACCGTCACACACAGCCTCTGTGGAAAGCTGCTCCCCTCCTTCAACCCACAGCATGGCAGGACTCCAAGAGCAGCCCCTGAGGGCTGAAATGCAGGGACCCACCTTGTTGAGGGCCCCACAGCCGGTGAGGATGATGTGGGAGTTCTCCACCTGGATGGTTCTCTGGCCCAGCCGCACGATGTAGGCCCCGATCCCGATTGCCCGACACGTCACCTGGGAAAAAAGGGAAAAAAGGGAAAAAAAGAAAAAAGCAACAGCATTGATTTCTGTCTCTCCACACAGCCCCAACCTATTGATTCAAACATTGAGATAAAACTAGGTGTGTTTGTAGTACAAGGCCATGAAATCTAGTCTCGCTGGAAAATTCCAGAATCCGTTGCTTTGTAAAACACAGGATCTGAACACGAATGTATTTTATTTAAAAAAAAAAAAAAGACAAGCAGCAATTTTCAGACTGAGCAAATGCGAGGCCAAATGCCTGAAGTGTTTTAAATTGAGTGTGGAGGGGACCCAGCCCTGCACTGGTGCCAGGAGCATTGCTCAAAGCCTACAGGAGCCCATTTCCATCAGCCAGAAGGCTGATCCCAGATGGATGCTTGGGATATCATCACAGGATTTTTAGCTGAAACAGACAATACATTTGAAGAATAGAAAGCAGTGGGGGATTACCAAGCTGATGGTGATAACACTATCATAGGCTAAAGATGATTCTCCAGCAATCATGCCAGATGCTCTGAGGTTCTCTACTCCAAGCCCGTCCTCCTTGCCGATAATATCCGTTATCTTGTACCTGAGGGAGACACAGACAGCCCCTGAGTCACAAGGTCCAGTGATTTGCTGAATCAGTTTGCTACAAAGAAAATGGAAAGTGACTAAATATCATTAAGGCTCCAAGGAGAAATGTGCAGGAAGCCCGGGCAAGGGCTGTGCAGGGCCCATTGGGCAGCACCATGGAACCTTCCCACAGCAGCAGCACTGCAAGGGGAAAGGCCAAGGGAGAGGAAGGCCTGGGGAAAGTGTCCTGTCATTCCCACAGGACCTGAGGAGCAGGCTGATTAATAGGAAAAAGGGCAAGAAAGGAAGGGGATGCAGACAAAGGGAAAGAGGAAAAGAATTAGGATTACAACAAGGCTCTCACCTTTTCTTCACTTCCTTCTCCCATGCCTCCATGCCCTGCCCCTAGGGAATGCCCCAGCTGAGGACGAGGACATGCCATGCCTGCCCCAAGGATGAACAGAAAGCTTTCCACTCCTACCTGGACTCTCCATTTTCCTCCACGTGCTCACAGTGAACAGAGTTCAGGGCACTGACTTTCTTATAGTCTTGAGGAGTCAGGTACAGGTATTTGTATCCCTGCAGGGAAGAACAGTTCATTCATCCCAGTCCCACCTGTAGCCCCTTCCTCATCCCCTGTAACCCCTTCCAGAAACAAACTTCCACAGAATTAAATTCCACAGAGTGATAAGAATATCCTCTCAATATTGGAGATGCAGCTGAGGCCAGTGAAAGCTGGGAATAGTGCAATATTTGGCTGGGAATGGTGCCATATTTAGCACTAACTCCTTCTAGATGCCAACCTGCTGCCTGGGAGATGGTAAAATCCTGTCATGGAATAGTCTGGGTGAGAAAGGACCAGGTTACTCCTAGTTTCATCCAGCTTAGCACTGGGCATTTCCAGTGTTCCACACCCAATACTGAGGAGAACCTTGGATGTGACACTCAGAAATCTTCACCCTCACCTCTGCTAGAAGAGGTGCTGTTACAGTTATATTTTCTGGAAAAATCTTTTTGCTTAGGATTCTTTTCCTGGGAAGCTGAGAAGTCTCAGAGAAAAAGGAAAACAATATTTTCCCATTGCTTCTCCTGTGTTTTGCTGTGTTGGAATGTGTTTGGAGATTGTTTCATTAGTTTCATGTGAATTGTCTTAACTTATTACAGTCAAACTGTGTCGAAACTCTAGAAAGGGCCACAAGTTTTCATTGCTATCTTTTTAACCTTCTATAAGGTTAAAAATATAAACTTATACCTCTATAAGGATTCTTATAAATAATATAAATTTATACTTCTTAATATTATAATATTATAATATTAATATTATAATAATTATAATATAATATTAATATTATAAACTTCTTATACTTAATATAAACTATAAGTATTCTTTCTGTATTCTTTTAGTATAGTATTCCTTCATATAATACCATATCATAAAATAATAAATTAGCCTCCTAAGAGCACAGCATCAAATCCATCACTCCTTCCTCTGTCTGGGGAGCCAACACAATCAGGTGCTATCAGAGCCAGCCTGCTGTGGGCCACTGCAGCGTTTGCTGCTGCGGCTCCCTCACCTTGTAGGGGTTGTCCGGGTCCTCCCAGGCCACGTGGAACATGTGCCGGATCTCCTCGGCCAGCCCGATGCGGGCCCCGCTGTTGGCAGCCACGTAGATGCGGGGGATGCCCTGAGCCCGGGCCAGCTCCGAGGCCCTGAGGAACAGCACGTCCTCCTGGGGCCCGAAGGAGCCGATCTTGTAGGTGATGTCATTGCCTATGACGATGATGTCCCGGCCCTCGGGGTACTCGGGTGTCTTCAGGGTCATCTTCCAGGCCACCATCCCGATCTGCAGCCCGAGAGCAGAGAGCGGCACAAAATCAACGGTGTGTCCTCAAGGTGTGAGAGAAAAGAGTCACACAGGGATCGTTTCTCTTGTTTGAGGTTCATTCTCTTGGACTTGGCATATTTTCCTGGGGATGACATCAGCTCTGATGGGCTCTGCCAGTGCCCATCAGAGTGGGAAGCACTTGAGCCTTCCCACATTCCTTGGAGCACGTTCTGCACTGCTCTCACCCCACCAGGACACTCACACTGGTTCTCCCTCTCCCCATTCAGGGGTTTATCACAGGTCCAACACGTCCCTCTCACAGGGAGCTGTGCATTCCCTGTGCTCCCAGGGTGAGGTGAATGCACAGCATTCCCAGGTATCACCCCACACCCTCATCCCCCTCACCCAACCCTCATTTTAACCCCCTTTTTATTTCATTGCTATCCCAAATATCCCTTCATTCCTTCCTCTCTTCCCTTTTCCCTTCCCCAGTTTCACAGCAGCTCCATCCCAAACCCACCTGGCTAAGCAACACCTTTTACTGCACTTTTTTTTTTTTCCCCCCGAAAAATCACTGATCTCTGCTGGCCCATCTCCTGAGGGATCAGCAGCATCCCTCCCTGCCCTGCCTGCCCCATCCCTCAGGTTTCTGCTGCCCCATCTCTTGGAGGATCAGCAGCATCCCTCCCCTCTCTCCCCTGCCTGCCCCATCTCCTGAGGGATCAGCAGCATCCCTCCCTGCCCTGCCTGCCCCATCCCTCTCTGCCCTGCCTGCCCCATCCCTCCCTGCCCTGCCTGCCCCATCCCTCCCTGCCCTGCCTGCCCCATCCCTCCCTCCCCTGCCTGCCCCATCCCTCAGGCAGCGCTCGGGGCTCCAAGTTCCATTAACAGATGGGAGCAGCAGCGTCCCTTGAAAGCCACATGCATCACCCAGTCCCCGCTTGCCCAAGGATCATAAGCCCTGAGTACACATTCCTCAAGCCGATTGCACATCCTCTGCAATCAGCAGGGCTGAGGCTCTCATTGTGGAGCCTCGGAATTCTGAGCATGATGAACTAAAGCGGGAGGGGGAGAGGCAGCAGATAGATCTGTGCCATTTAATCCACATCCAAATGGCACAATACACAGCCCAGATCCAATCAGCATCTGCAATAAGATATGCCATAATAGGCTCATTAAAAAAAATAAAGAGGCAGAGGAATTAATCAAAGGGTCATTGGAAGTAAAGCAGGCAGCAATCCAAAAATATTACAGCCAGCTACTGGCAGATCCTTCCTTGCACTTCCCCTTCCAAGAGCTGAGATTGCAAGTTAACAGAGTGTTTCAGTTCACCTTCTCCTTGGATTCCTCCACTCCTACTCTGACAAGTCAGAACAGAATAATCTTTTTGCCTCTGAATATTTGCAGACCTACAGTTCCACCTCAGCATCCAACTGCAGGGTTTGGAACAGAGAGATGCTGCAGCAGCTTCAAAGAAGGGAGCAAAAATCCCTGACAGTTGTTTCCTTACAGCCACACTGACCCCGCCAGGCAGGGCTGAGGGATCAGTGATGGACCAGAGTCCCCAGGGCTGGTCCCACACTCCATCCCACCCACCAGGATGTAAGAGCTTTTCCTCACTTTCAGCAGCTTGAGGATTTTTGACAGCACAGGAAACAGGCCAATTTAAGGCATTTCTTATTTAGAAAATTCAGATTGTAACAGAGGTGCTGAAATAGTTTCCTAACCCAAGGTCGTGGGTCCCCTACACCAGTAAAGTCCCTTTTGTCAGTGCTCACCAGCAGAACAGAAACAACCTGGCCAGGGCACAAACTCCTGAAAACAGTTTACAGTGGACAAATATGGAGCAACCCTATACAGTTTAGGAAAAAAAAATTCAAAGTGCACCACTATTAACTTGGGTGTCTTTTGCCTCCCCAATTCATCACATGTTTTGTGCCATTTATCCAGTAATAAAAGCCATGGGGATCTGCACAACTAAGGAATTTTTTTTGCTACAAATTTGCTAGATTCAGTTGAGATTTATGGGCAGTGGAGAATGGCTTTCTATTCCAGAAAAAAAAAAAAAAGGAATAACGAGATTTTTAAGTTAACGGCAGCACTCCAAAAACTGGAGAGTTCCCAGGTTAATTAGCCAGGCTGAGCTAATCACCTAAGAGCACTGGCAGGCAATGGTAGGTGATGGTGAGCAGCCCTGGCTTTGGAACAGGCTCTTTTGAAGAGGCAGCACAGTTTGGAAGTGCTGCTCCTGCCACGGCTCCATTCCCAGCACACCCAGGAGTGAAGAAGAGGCGGAGGAAAAATAAAAGCAGGAACCGTCTTATTTAACTGTTTTTATGTTGGCAAAATGATTTGTGCCCTGGTATTTCCATAAGAAGTGGGACCATTATTCTCCTGTAGGAACACATTTGGTTTGAAAAGTATCAGTGGGCAGCACGTGAAAATCAAAGGGGATGAATTATTCACAAGCCCCGATCAGAAGTGATCATTATTTCTGATGCTCCAAACTGTGATTAGGATTCAGTGCTCAGCTGTCATTTGCTCCCTGAACGGCCCCAGCCCCGCAGACACATGGAGATGACACCCAAGTTTCAGATGTATAATTTTACACACACCTTCTTCCCACTCCATCCTGGCCTTAATGGAAGCATTAAGAGCCAGTAAAACGGGCGCGCTAACGAACGGCGCTTCCCCGGCGCTCGTAAACGCCGCTCGTTTGACACCCAGTGTCAACACTAATCATGGCCTAAAATTAACACCAAAATTGACTTCAACATTAATTGCACTATCGATGGGAACAGTAATACACACACTGATGCAGTTCCAAATTGACTGCCGGTGGCAGGCAGAGCTGTTGACAGCAGCTCCGAGGGGAACGGGGAAGGAGCCGATCCCAGGCTCCCTCCGGGAAGCACGGCAGGCTCCGAGCACAGGGAGCCACTGGCAGCTGGGGACAGGGAGCTTCTCAGCCTCTTTCTGGCAGGTTCTGTAATTCCTGGAGAAGCACAGCCAACAGAATCACGGAATATGCTGAGCTGGAAGGGATCATCCAGTCCAGCTCCCAGCTCTGCACAGACACCCTGACAATCCCACCTCGTGCATCCCTGAGAGTGCTGTCCAAACACTCCTGGAGCTCTGGCAGCCTTGACCACTCCCTGGGGAGCTTGTTCAGTGCTCCACCACCCTCTGAGGGAAGAACATTTTCCCAATATCCAACCTAAACCTTCCCCTGGCACAGCTCCAGCTGTTCCCTCAGGTCCTGTCACTGGGCACCAGAGAGAAGAGATCAGTGCTGGTTTATTCTGCTTCCCTCACTACAGGATGGTGCTGAGCCTGGGGACTGAAGGCCAGGCTTCATTTTATCCATTCACACCCAAATTTGGAAAGCTGAATGTGGGTATTTACTTGGTGCAGATGCAGCAATTTTGGCATTTCAACATTTGAATCTGGTGCCTGGAACTTCAGATCTAAAAGAGTGACTCTCTGCACTTAACACTGTGCAGAGCTTTCACATTTTTATCTGGAGCATGAAGCAGCTCCCAGGAAAAGGGCAGAGTGCACATGGTCTGCCAGAGGCATTCCAGCTCCGTGCCTTGACAAGGGTGGAGTGCCAAAAGCCAGGATTCCTTCTTGGCTCTGGAAAAGGTGTCCCTCAGCAATCCAAGCGTGGTGGTGGCAGCCCAGCCAAGCACGCTGGCACGATCTGAGCAACGGGAGGGAACAGCTCCAGCATGACACCAAGAGCTCAGGGAAAGGTGTCACAGGATCCCAGAACCACCCAGGTTTGAAAAAGACCTCCAAGATCATCAACTCCAACCTGCGACCCATCCCCACCTTGTCACCCAGACCAGAGTGCCACATCCAGTCATTCCCTGGACACCTCCAGGGATGGGGACTCCAAACCACCCTTCAAGTGCCTGGCCACCCTTTCCATGGAGAAACTCCTCCTGAACTTACAGATGGGTAAAGATGCATTACAGAGAGCAACACACAACCTTCATCAGGGGCTTTCCTGTGGGCAAGACCATTCCTGTATCCATGTGACCCACATACACCTGTTCAAACTTCTATATGAGCACAGAGAATAAAACTGTGCCATCTCTTCCATCCCTGTTCCTGGAAGGCTTGGATTTGGGGATTTGAAAACCCTCCAAGAAATCTGCAGCTCTGGCTGCTGTTTTAATTCCCTGTGCCTGCCATAAAATGCAGGAACAGGGGGTGACAAAGCAGAACATGCAGCTCAGCGATGAAGCTGTGCTTGTATAAAATGCATTAGCTACACCTTCCTGCCTCTGGCAATCCAGGAAGCCACCAGAGCAGCATTCCAGGAGCCCTCTGCCATCCTGAATTTCCCCTGGCCAAAGCTTCCCAGCTAGCCAGGAAAGGTGCAGCAGGCAAAGCTCCAGCCAGCAGCGGTGATTGTGGATTATTTCTGATCCTCGTGCTGCTGAGGAGGAAAAACTGTGACATCTAGTGCCAGTGGGGAAAATGACATTTTCCATTGGCACCGGCAGAGGGATGAAGGGGGATGTGGGGTGTTGCTGCAGGCCCTCCTTACATCACTTTCTCCTTGTCCTTGAAGATTAGTTGGGTCTTATCAGCAGCTGGTGCTTTCCTGGTGCCAGAGGATCAGGGGAAATTGTAGTCAAAATACATAAAGTGCTATAGAAAAGCATCCCAATGCCTGGCTCAGGACTGACAAGGAATATATTGAGTTCTGCAAGGGGCTGAGGGAATTACCTTTTCACACTGAGATTTGTGCTAATATGCTAATCTGGGGAACAAAGCCCTGGGCTTTGAAGGGGGTGTCACTGTGCTCCAGGTCTTGTCTCCAGCACGGTGATTTACACAGTGGTGGAGACACCCCTGAACTGCTCTGTGCTCACCAATTCCCAGCCCTTTCAGAGAATTCCCCATTTTTAGCACAGCCCCACGCCAGGGGAGGAACAGGATGAGGTTTAAGGTCCTTCCAACCCAAACCAGTCTGGGATTCTGTGACAAAGTGGAAAAAGAGGTGTCCTCTGGATGGTCAGAGGATGGAAAAGGCCCTGTAGTGATGGTGCTGTGCCCCAAGGGCAGGGCAGGGCCAGCAGGACAAGGACTGGGACCCTCTGCTCTGGAGCAGCCAGAGCAGCCTAGGAATAAAGAGCAACCTGTATTTTCACAGTCCATTAATTCCTTGGCTTCTTTGTTGAGACCAAAGCTAAGAGCTAATTACTGCAGTGGTGTGGTGGGCGAGGGGAGTGGTCCTGAGCTACCAGAAAAACCTCTGGGATTGGGAGAAGCCCTGAGACCTCAAGCCTGTCCTGAAAACACAGAGAGATTATTGCCCAAAATGCTGCTTGCCAGCTCTGTGAGGACAGGGAGAGCCCCAGGCTGGAGCTCCTGCCCTGCCCCTGTCAGAGCAGGGGCTGCAGCTCTGGCTGAACACACTGCCCACAGATCTCCTGATTTTATGCTGCTTTCTCAATTCCCCCCATCAGCTCAGACACTCAGGGCACTCAGCTCAGCTGAACACTGTGACAGCACGAGTGTCCTGACCCCTTTTCACACGGAGGAAATGCAACTGTCAGGAAGGCCAAGCCCTGACCCCCCGTGCCAGGCTCCCACTGGAAGCGTGGGAATGGCTCTGAGCCCCTGATCCAAAACAAGGAGAGCAGGAACGTGAATGCACCCAACAACAGCAACCTTTACCACAGACAGCAATCCCCAGCAGACATCTCCTCTTTACTAGAGAACACAATGGGCAATCTCTCCAATGAGTTTGAATTCAGAGAATCAGCACCTTTTGCTGGCAAGAAAGAAAAATAATAATAATAAAAACCTTACATTTCCTTGAGAAGTTCCTATTTCATCTGTCAGCCAGCTCACTGGGACCAGCTCTGGATCTCTGGGGCACAGACTCAGAGCTGGAGGGACCTCAGTGCCCATCCAGTTCCCCCTGCCATGGCAGGGACACCTCCCACTGTCCCAGGCTGCTCCAAGCCCATCCAGCCTGGCCTGGGACACTGCCAGGGATGGGGAGCCCACAACCTCTACAACCCCTCTGGGCAAGAAGACATTTGATAGATCACATTGGATCAGATTAATTTAAATACCAACACCTCACACACCACAACAGCCATGTGATTTCTTTACAGACCGAGCACAACCAAGTCTACCAAGGGTTAAAAAAAATCTCCTAATTTTTTTTTTTTTTTTTTTTTGGTGGTCTTTGGGTACAGAATGTCTTATAATAAGACTATTTGTATTCATACTGGCAGAGTAAACACTACATGTTCATGCCCAGGCAGCTCTGTGCTTGTAATTTCAGCAAGAACAGAGCGACGTCCCTGAGGGACTTTGCTATTTCCCCAGCCACCATCCACTCCAGCGCTGAATGAGAGCAGGGAAGGAGAGAAAGATGATGGCACAAGGCTCCCCAGCAGCCTCAGCCTGCCCTGGGAATGCAGGGAATGGCTCATTCCAGCTTTAATCAGACCAGTTCAAACATTTCTCCTCAAGTCCGGCAGAAGACAAGGCCGCAGCGACCCCACAGACACCATCAGGGGTAATTTGCAAAAATCCCATTCCAAACCTTCCCCCCTGACAAGGTGCACGCAGGAAATGGTGAGGAAAACCTCTGTTTCCTTGCATCCATACCCTGATGGGTTTAACAGAGCCTTTGCAAACCTTAAGCTGCGATTTTAGGAAAATACAGTTCAACGACACCAAGAAATAAAAAAAAAATGATACCATCACTTAGAACTGTTCAAATTTAAATTACTTTGGAACATTCACTTACTAATTCCCACAAAAATAACCACCACATCTTCTAGTGGTTCTCTTTACTCTGCACTCATTCCAAAGCTGCAATTTTTTTGCACCCAGAAAAACCAAAGTCTCCTCCTGCTCGAGCTCCAGGAGTGCTTCTGCCACCCCCAGCATCAGCTCGTTGTAACTCTTGAGTAAATCCTGCTCTAGAGAGGGAGGTTCCACACACCTTGATACAAACTGTGTAGGGAGGATGGAAATGGAAGCGTAAAACAGATTTTTCTGTGGTTTGGGTTTTTCTCAGAAAGTGAAAATATTTCTATTTAGTCTTGTAAAACACATTTTGCTCAAATACAAACCCCAGTTACCTGGAACAGCTGAATGAGCATTTTCTAATTATGAAGGAAGCCCAGCATAGGCACAGGTTTGAAATGGAATCATCATTTACTAGGGAAGTTAAAATACCCATTGTAGGGAAGGTATTAATTTTTAATGAAACAAAAATCTCATTTTCAAGAGCGAGATTCCATCTGTGAAAGGCTGAATGGACAGACTCTGTGCCCGGCTGGCAAATTCTCATTACAATGGCCAAACCCAGCCCAAAGCACAAGGTCCTGTGGGGCAGGCAGGGAGCAGCAGCAGGGAGGGAAGGGGCACTTGCCTCGTTTCCTCCTGGCAGCCTGTTCATGTGCACGAGCTGGCCCTGGTCATCCAGCACCAGCTCCGTGTAGGTCAGGATGTCAGAGGGCAGAGGTGCTGGGGGCAGGAAGGCGTGCTCGTTCATGGAGTTCCACAGCTTGATCAGGGACTGGGGGCACAGGGGAAATCCTCGTTAGCAATGACACCCAGAAATATCTATATTCAATATTTATATTTCAATCTACGTAATATTACATTAATATTATTATAAATAAAATATATGATATAATGTTATATATACTATATATAATGTTATATATATACTATAACTATATTTATATTTTTATACTACTATATAAAAATATTATTATTAATATAAAATATAAATATTGTTATATAATAGTATAAAAATATAAATATAGTTATAGTACATAATATAAATATAATATAGATATAAATAATATAGATATAATTTAAAATATAAATATTTATGTTATATCGTATATAACACAAGTTATATTTACGTTATATCGCATATATCGTAAATATAACATTATATTGAATATAACATAAATATCTACGTTAATATTTATATTTCAATCTACTCCAGTGTGGTATTCCCAGCAGAATCTGGGGCTACTCCCAGCTCAGGACACCCTGAAATATCCCTCCTGACAGTGCTCCAGGGACAGCACCTGCTCTGGGATTTGAATTGGGAAACAGTTTCCCCCAAAGCGAAATGGGAATGAGGTGGTTGGGGATAGAACCCAGCAAATCAGAAACATCATCTAGGAAGGGCAGATGACAAGGTGGGAAAACAAACAGCAACAAGAGAGGGAAGATGGTTTATGTTTCACTCTCCACTGTTTGACTCACTCATGGAACTCCAGTTTATCCTAACTTCACTCTAAGTGGATCCAACCCATAGCTGATATTCCCTGGGGATCACTGGCAGCCACTCCAGGTCCCTGGCTCCCCTGACAACCAGGATGGCAAAGAAAGGAACAACAAGAAGAGCCCAAAGAACACTCACCTGCCTGAACATCTCAGGAATGTCATAGACATAGGATGTCCCTAAAGTTTGTGCCTGGAACCTCTTGGACTGCAGCAGGTCCTTGGTCACGTAGGGGGTGTTGATCAGCATCCCATGGAGTGGTCCCTGCTTGTCTCCATATGCCTGGAACATGATCTGCAGGACAAACCAGGGGTTCTGTACACAGAGCTGATCCAGCCCTCAGCAAAAACCCCCAGGCTGCTCCAGCCTGCCTGTCCCTGCCCTCTGCAAGGCTGCTCGTGCTGGCACAGCCAGGCTCCATCACACCCTGCTGCCCTTTGGGGACGCCTCAGCACTGTCCCCGCACCATCCCGGACTCACTGCCACTCCCCGAGGAGCCCAGAGCACACAGAGCCACATCCCCAGCACAAACTGGGCCCTGAGAGGAGCTCCCAGTCCCCAGCAGCTCCCCTGAGCCCCTGTCTGTGCCCATGGATGCTGGGAGCAGCCAGGAGAGCTCTGTTATTTATGGATGGGGATCCGCGGCTGCGCCCGCCAGCCGGGTCAAGACTTGCATATGTCATGGGGCTTGAAGTTCTGATATTGTAAGTTTAAAAGATTTTCCCAGAGTAGCAACATGAATTATCAACTGCCGTGCTTCATGGCTCTATATATTCTGGGCAGGCAGGACTTGGGAGGGAAGCTTTCCAAGGGAGATACAGGAGGAGATAAAAACGGGATAAAAATGCCTTAAACGGCCCAAAACGCTGCTTAACAAGGACACACCTGGCAGGAGGGACATGACCAGGATGTGTTTAACAGAATTCAGCTAATTGAAGAGGAATTAATTGAAGAGTTACACAAAATTCAGTAAAGCCTATTTTTATTTTTAGATAAAACCAGCAGTTTATGCTCTCTTCAGGCTGCACAAACATTGATTTGGGAGGCAGCTTCTTTAATGGGAGAAGCATTTGTTCAGGGTAATGAGTGTTTGCGACAAAGCCTGTCTTGGGATCTGCCAGGATCTGCACTTGGAAATTCTCCTTAAATCTCTGGAAAGCTCCACAGCAGCTCCGAAGGGAACTGGAGAAGTCTGTGCTGAGCACCACCACTTATCACTACTGAGAAACAAGAGATCAGGGTCATTCTCTCACCATGAAGCCATCCTCCCATTCTTCAGAAGTCATGAAAGTACCCAGCACATCAGTATTATATGAATTTTTTTGAAAGATTTCTCTAAGTTTAAAAGAACTCTCTGGAAACACAGGAAAAATTCCCCAGATCCGAACTCATCCTATAAACCTCCATCATGAGGGGGAAGCTCCCTAAAAATACCAGTATATTTTTTTACTAAAATGTGGTTAATATTCTGGAAAACAAATCAAATTTAATACTGGAAAGTTGCTAAAGCCTCACACACCCACACGGGCCCACTCCCCAAGCTTTAAATAACAAAGCTCATCAGTTCAGAGTTCACTTGTGACCTTCACGAGTGACTGACCCAACTCAAGGGTTAAGCTGAGCTGCTGGAGATTTTATTAAAATGTTCTTTTCTTTCCTCATCTCCCCTCAAAGGCAGGAATGAGGTAAAACACACTGACACTATCTGCTCAGGGATCTCAGAGCTGGATGGACTCCATGGCCAGCAGCTCACTGGAAAAATTAAAAGGAAAAAGGGGGAGAAAGGTGACTCAGCACTTTGTGTGCTGCATTCACAGTGCCCAAGTGATTTATTCTGCTGCTTCTCCTGCCTGGCAGAGAGATGATTACAGAAGGAGATGTAAACATTTCTCTATTTAAATATTTTCCATGCATCCCATGCTCCATGGATTTTAGCATATGTAGGTATTTCAGTTAACCACACTGTTCCCACACCATGGAAAACAGAAATACCACAACAGCCACAACCATTCCAAAAGAGCCCATTACGCTTCAGAAAAATGATATAAAAGCACCTTCCATAATTTTACATCTTCCTACCCAGGTCATCCCTTATATCTTTAGAATTTAAAGGACACATTCAAAGATTTTCTTCTATCTACTCAGGAAAATGTATAATTAATAATATTTTTTATTACAACCTACAGGATGAGCATCAGCAGTGATTCCTTTTCTAGTACTTTTTTGAGCACTCTGAGGAAAATTGTTTGGGAAAACAGCTGCCCAAATGACTGAGGGCACAAAACAACCAGAAATCCTGACTGATTTAATTGCTTACATTTTCACATCTGCTGCTGCAAGTTTATCTTTACATTCTCCTTCCTTTGGCTAAGCTCTTTGTGTTAAATTAAAATGTATTGCGGGGCTTGAAGCAACCTGGTCTAGTGGAAGGTGTCTGTGTGAGGATGTGCCACTCCATCGCTGCATTGCCTTCATTTTCTTGTGCCCTTCAGCACAGAAAGTTTAAAATTCCCAGCATCCAGGACTCCAATACCCATGCCCAGGGCAGGGGGCTGGAATGGGATGAGCTCCAGGGCGCCTCCCAACCCAAACCCTTCTGTGATTCCCTGGGAACGCCACAACCCACAGAGGAGCTCCACCAGGTGGAACGTGTCCCCTTCCCGACCTCCCCAGCCAGCCCTGCGTCCCCAGGGACGTACCTGGCCCGTCCTGGAGTCTGTCACCTCCTTGTAGAGGCTGATGTCCAGGTAGTAGCCCGACTCGTTGGTGAGGAAGAGGCGGATGGGGATGGCCTTCCCCGTGGGCGTCAGGCGGATGTTGATCTTCAGCTCGGCCTGCAGGACCCGCAGCTTCCACAGGCGGCTGCCGTAGCGCATCACCATGGAGCGCACCGACTCCTCGATCTGCACAGGGCAAAGGGGAAAAGCCTTCCTCAGCTGGGCTGGGAGATGGCCCTGCCTGGGCCAGGGGCTCTAAGATCCCTTCCAACCCAAGGCTCTAAGGTTCCTTCCAACCCAAACCATTCTGGGATTCTTCCAGAGGCAGCTCCCCTAGTGCATCACCATGGAGCACACCACCATGGAGCGCATCACCATGGAGCGCACCGACTCCTCGATCTGCACAGGGCAAAGGGGAAAAGCCTTCCTCAGCAGGGCTGGGAGATGGCCCTGCCTGGGCCAGGGGCTCTAAGATCCCTTCCAACCCAAGGCTCTAAGGTTCCTTCCAACCCAAACCATTCTGGGATTCTTCCAGAGGCAGCTCCCCTAGTGCATCACCATGGAGCACACCACCATGGAGCGCATCACCATGGAGCGCACCGACTCCTCGATCTGCACAGGGGACAGGGGGAAAAGCCTTCCTCAGCAGGGCTGGGAGATGGCCCTGCCTGGGCCAGGGGCTCTAAGATCCCTTCCAACCCAAACTATTCTGGGATTCTTCCAGAGGCAGCTCCCCTAGTGCATCACCATGGAGCACACCACCATGGAGCGCACCGACTCCTCGATCTGCACAGAGGGAAAAGCTTCCTCAGCAGGCACCAGGTTACCCAGGCTCTGTCAGGCGGCCCTGCCTGGGCCAGGGGTGCAGTGAGATGGGCCCTAAGATCCCCTCCAACCCAAACCATTCTGGGATTCTTCCTGGATCCATCACTGCTCTGCATCCCTCCCATCCCATGGCTCCACATCAGCACAGTGTGCCCAGTGCAGTTACAGGACCTTGGTGACCTGTCCCTCCTCATCCTAAGCCTTGAGGCAGGCAGGAACTCCACCTGGGGACTGATGTAGTGGGACAGTGCTGGATCCACATCCCTGTTTCCTCATGGCACACGGAACCACAGAATCATTAAATTGGGAAAGACCTTGGTGATCATCAACCCCAACCAGCACAGGGAACCCCTGCCTCCCCTGCACAGGCACCATTCACACATGGGAACTACAGAATCCAGGGAAGCCAAATCCTTGGCAAGCAGTTTTGTAGCCCTTGTATGCACAATAATCACATTTCACTGCCTGCACGGAGCTTTAAATCAACAAAGCAATTACCACTTGGAGCTGGGCCTTCTGCTCTTCTATTAAACTTTATAAAATACCACTGTGGGCAAAGCACATATTAAAAGAAGGCAATTTATAGGCTGGGTTAAATATTTTTCCCAAAAAAAGTCTCTTTTGCACAGCAGCTCAAGCAAAAGTCATGGTTTGTATCTGAGGGCAGCCCAGCTTCCAGGGATGAATATTCCAGCTTCTTCTGAACTTCCTGGGAACCAATAGCTCTGGATGCACCAGGAAAGGTTCATCCAAAAGGGATTTAAGCCACCAATTTTTAATCATGATTTAAAAGTCAGCAAGCAAGAGAGAGTTATTTTGATACCCAATTCATCTTTATAACTTTCGGCTGTTCTCCTCAGGAAAGGTCAGCTCTTATCTTTGGGTACCCATGAACTGAATGCTGATTTCCAGCTAAATTCAGCCCGGGCTTGGGACTTGCTTTGTGGTGATTCTGCTAGCCACAAACATCCTTTATGCCTGAACTCTTTCATTTGTGCATCTACAAAGCTTAACGTTCATTTATTTATAACATTCATCTCTGTGGTTTTGTACCAGAGACTGAAAAGAGAGGCAGAGAGGCACTTTTGTGAATTTACTGATTCTTTTTAAGCTCCTAATTTATCTCATGTTATATTTGGATGGAATCTCAACTTTTGCAATAAACAGAAGATCTGCTTCCTTATTAAAGCTGTTTACCTCAAACACACAATGAAAAAATAGGTTTCATTTCAAACACAAAACCTATTTCTAATAATTGTCCCTCAGTTTACACAGAGGAGCTGAGCTGCTCAGCAAAACGGTTTTAAAGTGCCAGAGGGCAGGGTTGGGTGGGATATTGGGAAGGAATTCCTGACTATGAGGGTGGGGAGGACCTGGCAAAGGCTGGAAGTGTCCAAGGCCAGGCTGGACGGGGCTTGGAGCACCCCGGGACAGTGGAAGATGTCAGGGTTGGAACAGGATGAGCTTTAAGGTCCCTTCCACCCCAAACTACTCCATGCTCCTGTGATTCTATGAACAGAAAACCTTTTATTTCTGAGAAATGAAGTCCTGGAAAGACAAGCAGCCCCGAGCTGGGCAGGAGCTCCCACCTTGGAGGGGTCCATGATGACGGTGGGCACGAAGTTGAGGAAGATGTGGTTGCAGTCCGTGCGCACGTTGGTGTTGTTGAAGGCCACCTCCAGCTCATCCATGGCCTCCAGCAGCAAACGTTCACCCTCGTTCTGCAGGTACTCAAAGGAGGCTTCCTGCCAGAAGCACCAACAAAACACTGAGCTCTGACTCACAAATCACTGCCCCACAGTGCAAGGTTGGGAGAACTGCAGGAGGGTGTGATGGAGGGGAAAATGGAGAGGAGTTCTCCACAGTTTGGAGAACTGCAGGAGGGTGTGATGGAGGGGAAAATGGAGAGGAATTCTCCACAGTTTGGAGAACTGCAGGAGGGTGTGATGGAGGGGAAGAGCCCCATGTACAGCCCTGGAGCAGACCCATCCCCAGCACAGAGCCAGTGCTCCCAGTGCCTGGATCCCACCCCTGGCTGCCTTGTGCCCTCCTTTAGCTCACAGTAATTCTGAAACCACACAGGGCAAGCCACTGTTGCCTCCAAATCTAAGGATTTATGACACTCATCTTGGGCCCTGAAAAATCTCCCTGGAGCACAGGAATAGCAGGACTCCAAAGGGCTGGTTCTGAGAGCAGCACCAGCAAGGAGAGGGCACCACCCCCAGCCCTCCATACAGGGAATGGCCACTTCTGGCTCCTGCAGCTCCCTAGGGTGACCCTGGCTTTACTCAGAGCCTTGCACAGGGACAAACCCACCTTGGTCACCAGGTCCGAGTGCCTTATGATGGCCCTGACGAAGAACCTGTAGTCTGTGACCTCTGTGCCCACCTCCACCTTGGCAGCCCCCAGGTAGAGGTGCATCTTGTGGTTGGCACAGGGGATGGCCGTCAGGTCAAAGTTCCTCATGCGGTTCAGCTCCAGCTGGAAGGCCAGGGCAGGCTCCAGGTGCCTGTAAATCCTGTCCTCCTCAAACTGCAGGGCCAGGGACACAGCACAGCGTGGGAAAGAGGGCATTGGAAAGGTGAAACACTCAGGGAAGAACTCCCACCACGCCCCTTATGAAATTTCATATTTAATTCAAGCTCTGAAAGTTCAAACAAATCCAACCCAGACTCTTCTATCTCACGCAGAACTGGGAGCTGTGAAATTGCTGAATAACACAAATTGCAGGGCAGCAAGTTCTCAAGCCCAACCCCCTCAGAAAACCCTCTTTTCCACAGAAACCAGAAGGTTTTGTCCTGATTCTGAGTAGTGAGTCACTGCATGAAGGAAGGATAAAGCCAACACTTGGAGAAAAGTATTAAAAACATCCAACTCACCTTATCCCGGGCACGGAAGGTGAAGAACTTTGGGAATTCCCTCTGTTTGAAAACGAAAACAACAGTGTTAGTGCCCCCAGAGCAAGCACTGATGGCCCCAGGGTGCTCTCAGGCCACTCCTGGGGCAGCACCACAGCACAGGAGGTGACACAAGCAGTTCCCAGCTACTTTCCCAACATCACAAAGGTGGGGGAAAATCAAATCACCTTCAAGGCAGCAGAGGCAGCTTAAACCTGCCCTCACTAATGCAAAAGAGGCTGCTTGATTGGCTTTTGATTATTATGGTCAACAGACAACAACAGATAACACAGAAGTGTCCAGACAGTAGAGGGAAACTTTTCCTAGATCTGTTATGATTGAAATTCCAGTGGAAATGTCTGGAGTGATATGAACACTCTGTTATGGATGCAGATATACACAGAACAATGATCTTATTCTACAGCTCTCTCCATACCATTACTGCCAGAAATACTCTCTTCCCAAGGAAACCTGGGAGCTGCAATCAAATAACTTTATTCTCCTGTAAGGAGCAGCAAAAAAATTACAAAAATCCCCCATCTACCACTGAGTTTCTCTGGTTTTCTGTTGCACAGATAAAACCCTGGCAGGACCTTGAGAGTTTTTTGAAATGTGGTAGAAATCTTAGATGAAGAGAGGAGGCCTGGACAGCATCCTGTCCCTCCAGTTCCACCCAGGCAGATGCAGCCCCTCCTCTGGAACTGGGGTTTTACTGGGCAGGGCTTTGGGCACTCTGCTGCCTGTGCTGAAGGTGACCTGAGGGGACACACACAACTGACCAGAACTGGCTCACTAAGCAAAAAAAGCCAGGGAATCTGACCTGGAGACACGGAATTTCTGGCTCACATTCCATTACCCGTGAAAGATGAAACAAGCCCAGCTGGAGGGAGCGTGGCAACCAGTGACACTGCACGAGCCAGCACAGATTCTAAAGCTAAAAGGACTATTCCAGTCAGTCACCTTCCTTCCCTCCTAGGTGAAACAGCCCCCAAACCTCACCTGAAGACTCTCAGTTGAGCAAAACAACTTGTGTTTGCCTGGAAACCCTTCCAAAATAAGCGGTGGTACAAGAAATGCTGCCTAAAACTTCAGGCTCGCTCAATATATCAACTGTCTGTGTGCCTCATCCTAGAAAAAGCCTCTTCCATGTTTCCTGACTTCTCCCAGTCCCTCCTACCTGTCCCCCTCTGCAGGCTGCCAGCTTCTCCCACCATCCCCAGGCTCATCCCACCACTAATGGAATTGCTTCCAGGGCACCTCACTGGTGTGGTGGGCAAATATCATAATTAGATGTGCACACACACAAAAATCCTCAGTGCCCTGGTACCAAAATCCAAAAGAGTGCTCCATTTCCTAGGCAGAAGAATTATACCCCTGCTGTGTTCTAATCAACCAACCATCATCAAGACAATCAAAATAATTTGCCTAAATTAGCCAATCAAGACACCCTGCAAACTGCAGAATGCGAGAAGCTGCACCAGAAATCATCAGAGTTGATTATTATACTAATAATCACGTTAAAAACCTAATGAGATGAGGAAATTGGAAGCTTGCTGGAGCAACTCTCTATTACCTCAACATGCTGGGAACTAATTATATAGACTGTAATTAAAACAAAAACAAACCCGAGCCCAGGCCTGGCTAAGTTAATAGTTGGTCCAGTAATGAAGGGGCAGGGACAGCAGACAGTGACAAACACTGACAGAGCAGCTCCCAAGTGCTCCACAAACTCTGCAGCCAGGTGACCCCACTCTGAGGGTCCAGGCACAGCTTGGGGATGGTTCCTCCTGTTCTGTGCCTCCTTTCTGACCTCTGGCACGTCCCACAGCACTTACTCAGCAACTCTCATCTTTCAACACCCATTCTGTCCTCCAAAACTTCCTTCTTCACACCTAAAGCCCAGATTTTCTTGCTAAATGTCCCAAAAGACTCTCCACAAAATCCAGTTTCCTAAGCTGTTGACTGACACCTCTGCACCTGTACAGTGAGCAACAATTCCCACGTGGTGCCAGGGTCAAACACTATTTCTGCTGATTTGTAAACCAGTTTTCCCTTCCTAAGCCTTCCCAGACCAGCTGAGTTGAGCACAAGGTGAATTCCTTGCACTTCAAATGCTCCTGACAACTTCCAGAATTGAAAAGTAGATACCCAGGAGATAAAAATCTGGTTTATGCCTTACACTGCCACCTAAACCAGACCCCACTGATGCCCAGGCCCTGGGGAAAGAAGCAATTCCCAGCAGTAAGAGCATCAAACAGGTCCCACACCACAAAACCACTCTGCAAAATTTAACCAGTCCCTCCAGTGACTGAAGTTATTCTAACACCAGTAAGAAGCCAAAAGAAATCACCACACTACAGAGGAAATACAAAGGTTTCACTGATAATTGCACTTTAGAACAGAAAGGGAACACAAGAACCACTGAAACACAAGGAAATCTCTGTCAGTGTGGCTCCCTGAGCTCAGCCAGGTACCCAGGGACACTCAGAGCCCCAGGGTCCCTCTCAATGCCACGGGCACAGCCTGGGTTTGCAGCCAGATTTTCAAATAAACACTTGAACACTTCACTTTGCCAGGGTGAGGGCATCAAATGCCTGCCTGAGGTCCAAATGAGAAGGCCAGAGCCCCCTGGGTGTCCCCTGGCCTCGCAGCAGGAATGCCACCCTGCTCCAGGCCCTTTTTACTTACATGGAATCTCTGATCCACCTCATAGTTGACCTGTTTCCTGAAGTCCTTACAAACGAAACATACACACATAGGAAGAAAAAAAAAAAAAGCAGAAGACAGCTAGCAATTAGGATTAAAATCAAAAATCAATTAATTCAAGAATACAAGAGGCGTCAAGATTGCTTACAATTGTAAATTAATTCTCTTAAAGCGAATTCATGAAAACCATCTCAAGTTTTAGAGGACAAAAACAGTGAGGAGAGAACTAAATACAGTAAAATACAGCATTTAATCTGGGGGGAAAAGCATGTCAGATGCCAATGGTACAATGAGCTAGAAACCAGGGAGGTGTGAGCATCAGGAGAGACGTGGAAATACCTTTTGTGCTACCAGGAACGTCAGCCTGCGAATGCCATGCTCAATCAGGACTGATTTCTGCAAAAACAAGGGTGCAAACAGTGACTGGAGTGCAGAAAAAGAACAGATCAAAACAGGCTGGAGCCCTCTGTGAAGTGAAAAAGCTCTGCAGGTCCCTCTGAGTCCCTGCTCCCCTTCAGCCTCCCCGGAGCGAGGATTTCCCACCTGCTGCTGCCTCAGCAGCACAAACGCCCAAATCCCTCCCCCCTGGGCAGGGAAGGGACTGAATCACAGAGCAGTGAGCTCAGGCTGAGCCTGGCCAGGCAGGAATGCAGCAGAGTCACTCCCAAATCGTGCAGGAAATATCCTTGCTCATTTGCCAGGATTGCCTTCCGAAGGGAGCACGGCGCAGGTGGGGTAAGGTCATGGAAGATGATGGAAAGTGAGTTTTAAAGGAGCTAACCCATGGAAGATGTGGCTGATGGCTGCCTTTGGCACAGTGTGCTCAGTCCAAAGCACACACCCAGGCTCTCGGCCTGGAGAAGGCTTTGGGGGGGCTCTTTGTGACCTCCCAGTCCTTTAAGGGCATTAAAATAGAAGGGAGAGGGACTTTCAGCATGGGCAGAGAGGAACACAACAAGAATTAGAGGGACGAGGGTTAGATGGGATGTCAGGCAGGGCCATGAGATCCCTTCCAACCCAAACCATCCCGAGCCTCCAGGATTCCACATGGCAAAGGTGACACAAGCCAGATGTCAGTGATTTTTTTAAGCAGATCACAGGATGTCCATGCTGGCTGCCTCTCCCTCACAGTCCCCTCTCAGAGGAGTGCTGCCATCAGGACTTGCCACAGCACTGATCCTCTGAAGCGCTAAGATCTCGTCATTCTCTTCTTTTTCAAACTTTCCTCCTTCCTCCTCCCTCTTCCAATTTAAAAGCAAGGAACACAAGAAGGAACAACAGCTCAGCTCAAGCAGGAGCAAACCAGCCCCTCTCTGCACAGACTGTGATGTTTTACTAAGGTTAAGCCCTTTGGAAATGAGCAGCAGTGACTATATTCATGGCAAGAGGAAGAAAATAACTTTAATAATGCCATGATTTAAAAAGCAAAAATTGTTATTGCTTTTAAAATTCCACAAGTGGCAGACAATAACAGCAGAGCAACAGGATTCTGATTACATGGTAATAATGTGGGTCTCCCAGCAAGGCCACAGCTATTAGAGAGCGATTAGCCATCAGCACCTGGAGAAACTCCATTTCCACTGACTGCCTCAATCTCCTCCACAAGTCATTTACAAGTATATGATCCTAATTTCTATTAAAAAAACCACACACAACATGCTGGGACTGGAAGATTATTTGGACAATTTGGATCAACCTATTTGATAGTTTAATGTGGTTTTGGATTTTTTTTTTTTTTTAATATATTTTATTTCTTTCTTTTTATCCCCTCCCATAAAACGCCTGGAGCATGATCAAGCAGATGAAAAGCAGAACTAGCTTTAATTCTTGGATTTGATTGTTTTCCTTGTTTAAAGAGACAGGAGGCTGCTGAAGCCATGTGGATGCCAGCCCCATTTTGGAACCCCTGATTTCTGCAGGGTGTGTTCCCACACCCCACACTCAGAAGCTGGAGGTGCAATGAGCTTTCAGAGCTCCCAAACCAGTGCAGCTCCACGATCCCAGCTCCTGGTGGGATTTGCAGCCCCACAAACCACTGGAGTTCTTCATACCACAGAAAAGCAGGTGCAGGCAGAGCCCAGAGTGGACACAAGGAGGCTGTTCCCAGCCCAGGCTGTCCCACAGCTGACCCTGCACTGACATTTGGGACTCCTGAAGTGCATCCCACACTAAGAAAGGTGCAACAGAACATGCCAAATAATTCCTCCTCACGCCAGGAATGTTGTGTAAGGTGGATGCTCCAGCACCCTAACAAGGGCAATAAACTTAAATTTCATTAAGACTGTGGTGATACACAAACACAGGACATTTTAATGTCATTGTACATGGTTCTGTTGCTCACACAACAACTTTATCACCAGGGAGAGGGACAGAACACGTTTTTCAGAGCGTGTGGAGACAGTTACTGAAGATTCACTGTTTAAAAACATTCACTGATGTGTTTAAAACCTTCCAAGTCTTTCATCCCATCAAAAATTAAAGGGAGGATGTCCTGACCTGACAGATTAGAAGGAGAAACAATGACCTGGTGCCTTCAGGAAGGTGCAGCTACACCCAAAGCAATGGGGAGGCTCCAGAGGGGATAAATGGAGGCCGTAACTGCAGCATGTTTGAAACCAAACCAAACCACCCCAAACCTAGGGAGCGCAGAGTTAGAGTTTCCCCAGGCTGTCCTGCAGATCCCAGAGGGGCAGAGGGGCTCACCTTGCTCTGGGTGAACTCCCTGAACATGGCAGCCAGGCCGTCGTCGTCCACGTCGCCGTCGGTTTTGATGGCCACGTTGAGGATGTGGATGGGCTCCTCCCGGGCACTCTGCAAGGACAGGGGAGGGTCCCCATGGAGCAGGGATTAGCAGTGAGCACCTCCTAGATCCCCATGGTCCCCATGGAGCAGGAATTAACAGTGAGCACCTCAGAACAGGCTCCCGAAACCCAGCTTTAGAGATGCTCTGGGGGAAAGGGCCTCAGCAGAGCACCAGGGAAAACTCTGAGGGAAATCCTTGACCAGACAGCCTCAGAAATCTGCAATTTCACACAAGTCAACGTCCACAAACATCAAACAGGAGCCCCCTTGGGAGAATTCAAGGATGAGACGGGGCACAGGGTCAGGGCCTCTCTTTACCAGATGCAGCACAAGGACACTAGAGGACTTTGGCATCATCAAGGAAAGTAATTAAATTAATCAAAGTGTAGGGGCAAAACAGTGTGAGTTTCCATACCTACAACAACATGAAATGATGTGGAAACATCAATTCCATTTGAGCTCCAAGAAATTACAAATGCAGCCTCCAGGAGCCTGTGATTAACTGGGAAAAAGTGAGACTGGACAGGAAATTACCTTGGTGAGGTGAGGGGGATGCCGAGAGAGGGATCTGAGGACATTAAGGTTGACAGTAATATTCTGGAAAAGGCTACAGTGCTTCCACACATCAGGATCAATGGATCAGAGGAAAACAAAGCCCTGTTCTGGACACAGGCTGTATTCCAGCAGAGCTTCCCACTCTTGTGGAGCAGCTACCCGTGTCTAAGGGAAACTGGACTTCCATCCCTATGGATTAGGGACCACCTGCCTCCTCTGCACCTGTTCTCCACATCTCTGAACAAACTGAGCAGCTCCACTCGGCTTTTCCTCCCAAAAACAGTTCCAAGAGGCAGAACAGAAGGAAGAGTCAAGATTTAAGGGGACTGGGAAGGGTGTAAGACAGGAAACACAGCAAGTCAGATGGAGGACAAAGACAGCTGAAGATGCAGTTCAACATCCTGGTGCAGAGAGAGGGTCTGGAGACTTAATGGTGGGTTTAAACTCTGTTATGGTGCTGTGGATCCAGGAATTGTGCTGATGCTAAAAGCCATAAACTAAATTTACATGGAGAGCAAGAGCTGAGCTGTAGCTTTAGAGCAGAGCTGGAAGCGGCCGCCCACGCCGAGTCCCCTGCTGTGGAACAAGCAGGCAAATCACAGCCATAAATACACAAAGCTCCCAACTCCTGCTCCCAGCACTCAGCCAGGGAGGAGCATCCAGCCCCAGAGTACCTTCCAGAAAGGAAAACAACCCCTACCTTGTCCTCATCATACAGGGAAGCGTGGCCGGCCTCGGGGAACGTGGGGCTCTGAGGGGGAGAGTCGCAGAAGCATCCCATGACTTCATCAAAGATCCTGGAACACAGAGGAAGGAGCAGTGACCACCACACCACTGCAGCACACGGAGCACCCAGCACTGACCCCTCCAGTCCTGGCAGGACAGGGCTCCTTCCCCTGCTGGGCTCCAAGATCAGGAGGCAATTCCTCAAACCAGGGTCTGCATTGTCCAGCATTGGTCTGAGACATCCTGGGTGCAGGCTGAGGGCTCTGCTGGGGGTTTGCCTGTCCCAAAAGGTTGGAAGCACAAAGAACTGCCCCCACACACATCCACAGAGCATCAGGAGCCACCAGCACATTCCCAACCAGCAGAACCCAGGATGCTGATCCCTCTGTGTGCACAGCGCTCGTCCTGCAGCCCGGGCCACACGCAGGGATCCAAGCAGGGAAACACGCCCAGGACTGTGGGAATCTACAAAATCAGAGGATTTTGGGAGAGCTGCAAAAGGCAGGCCTTAGATACAGTCGAACTGTGATTAGAGCTAAGCAGCAGCCATGAGATTGGTCAGCAAAAAAATTATTTAAATTGTAGAAAGGCAAAGACAAATAGAACAATGGTCTGTGTATTAACGCTTGTCTAGAATAACTCCCTAAGCTACAGAAAAGTTTATCTAGCAAGATATTAGGAAGGTTAAAGCTTAATAATGGAGCTCTGTGCATTGTGTTTTAAGGCTTACAAGTAGGTATTGTATTTGAAATAAGCAAGCATTTTTTTAACCAAAGGCCCGTGTGTTTATGGTGATTGGATAGAACTACTGTCAATGTGCTTTTGCTTTGTGTGATTGGTCAAGAAACTTATAAACTAAGTTGTAACATTAAGTTCTTTGTCTGCTGCCTGGGATGTGAGCTGCTGGCATCTTCCCATTGTCATAACCAAGTAATGAGACTGATGCTGGAAATCAAACAGCTCGAGGCACGTTCCCAGCAGCACCGTCCCGTTTGTGATCTGTAAATAACCCCCTGCCGGCATCAAGGACCAGCCTAAACCTGACTCTAGACCTGGCAAAGCCTTTCCCCAGCTCTGCCAGGGCCCAGGTGGGGCGGTGGCCACAGAAGCAAGGCCCAGAGTGGGCACCCACCTGACGAAGTCCTCAAAGGTGCGGAAGGAGACCATGCCGCCCATGCGCTGGCACGGCGGCGTGAAGGAGTTGTCCAGCAGCACATCACTGACACTGGCCACGTGAGCCATCCCATAGTGATTGAGGTTGGAGGAGAAGGACATCCTGAAGAGCAAGGCAGCAAGAGCACAGTCAGCAGGGGCAGGGCAGGGGCACAGCACTGGCAGCAGGTTTGGGCAGCGCCCCGAGCACCTGGAGCGTGGCTGGGTGTGACCGTGTTCACAGGGGTTGTAGGATGAGGGAGGAGATGAGAATGTTGACTCCGTGTTTCAGAAGGCTTGATTTACTATTTTATCATATATATTACATTAAAACCATGCTAAAAGAATAGAAGAAAGGGTTTCACCAGAAGGCTGGCTAAGAATAGAATAAGAAGGAATGATAAGAAAGGTTTGCGGCTCGGGCTCTCTGTCAGAGCCAGCTGGGCTGTGATTGGCCATTAATTAGAAACAACTAACATGGGCCAATCAAAGATCTACTTGTTGCATTCTACAGCAGCAGATAACCATTGCTTACATTTTGTTCTTGAGGCTTCTCAGGAGGAGAAATTTTAAGGAAAGGATTTTCCATAAAAGATGTCTGTGACAGCTGGGCAATCCCTGCTGGGTTGTTCAGCCTGCCCAGAGCCCTGCCATGCCTCTGGTGCCAGCCTCCCTGTATGGGCAATTCCTGCTGGATTGTTCAGCCTGCCCAGAGCCCTGCCATGTCTCTGGTGCCAGCCTCCCTGGATGTTGTGTCAGTGACAGGAACACCCAGAGTTGGCAAATAATGCTATAACCCCTTAAAACAGGTATTTCCCGAGATGACAGGAGAATTCTGACTGAATTTTTCTCCTATTTCTCCTCCTGTCTTTATGTGTTGCTTTACAGGTGGAACATGATTCAAGCAGCAGCAATTCTGAGATTTGACACGTGAAGGATTCAGTACATTTTTACAAAGGCTGTATTAACTTATTGATTCCATGATTTTTCTGATCCTACCACAATTTCCACTCCTCAAATGCAGCATGGTACAGTGGCTTGTCCAAAATTCTCTGCTGAGTCTTACCCTCTCATTCCCACCCTCCCTGTTCAACAGCTGGATGTGGCACTCAGTGCTCTGGGCTGGGGGTGGCAAGGTGGGGATCAGGCACTGGTTGGACTCCATGATCATGAAGGTCTTTCCCAACCTCACTGATTCTGTGATTTTAATTGGTTTTTTTAAAGATTCACAGTGCCACAGAGTCGAGACTGGCAGAGGAAGCTTCTCCCACAGGAGAAGGCACAAAATGAGATTGGACTTTCATCTGGTGACCACAGCTGGGGTCTGCCTTCTCTGCAATAATTATCACCAATTTCTGAGCTGTACTGCAGGCTCAGTTCAGACTCCCTTCCAGAGCTGCCTGCAAGGTGGTGACACTTCTGAAGAGACCCAAGCAGGGAACTGGCCCTGGCACCTCACTTGCTCTCCCTGGGCTTGGGGACACGTCAATTTTGCTGCCAAAACTGGAGGAGATGGGGGAAGAAAGTCAGGGAACGGATTCCCCAGCAGCCCTGGAGCCTCAGAGCTGTGAAGTGCAGGGGCTGCTCACTGTGTGGGAAAGCAGGACCTGACCTGGCTGAGCTTTGCTGGGATCTCCTCCTTCCCACACACCAAACCCACTGTGATCCAGCCCCGAGTACAGTGCCAACAAGTCTGAAGCATCACAGGGTGATTAATGGCTCTCCATGCCTAAAGTCACTCTCTGTTTCTGCAATTTATCTCTGATTAAGAGCCGTGAGACTTCCGAGCCCATTTTTACTATTTTTCCCTAAATAGGCTTGTAAGCAGCAATAAATAATAGGGATTCAGGTCTTGAAAGAGGGGAATTTTTCAGGACATGCCTTGGTGTACACTCTTACAACTCATACAAAAACTATCACAGAACAGGAACTGAACAAAAAGACAGCAGACATTTTTCATGTATTATTTAAAACAAGAAATACTTTTCAACTGAGACACAGGAGGAAAAATTAGTGTCCAAACCACAACAAAACATGCTGTCAGCTGTTTGAGATGTAGATTCATCTGTGGTGTGAGGGAGGTGAAACAGCCCTGACAAATTCCAAGCCATGCACAAGGAACCAGGGTGGGCTGGGAGGAGCTGCCTGGGGTCACTGGCCACAGGGCCAAGCCTCTGGGACCCAAACCTGGGAATTCAGTGCCAAAAAACACCCTAGGGCAGCACTCTGCTGTGTAACACACTGCAGAGGAGCTGAGTCACCCAGCAAATTTAATTCCAGAGATTGCTGCATGCAAAGTTTTGGGTGGTGTTGTTTTTTTTTTTAAAGAAAAGCTGAAAACATGTTTTAGACAAAGGGAGAGGAAAAGGGGAGGTAAAAGAAGAGTTATGGTTGAGTTTTTCCCAAGTAAAGAGAAGGGCACTACAACAAAACATGCTAAAACATTCAGGGTTAGGCTCCTTTCTAGTGTGGATTTGGAATTTGAGAAGATGATGGGTACTGTACCTGTTCAGTGTGGGGATGTTCCCTCTGAAATCAAACAAGCACAGTTAATCAGACCGGTTAGTGAAAGCCATCACACAGAACCATCATCAAACAACCAGCAACACCTTCCCAAGGGACTGTCCCAAGTCAGGGAGAGCTGCCTGCCACCTCCCTGACCCACCAGGGCACAGCCAGGCCATGCAAACAACGCAATTTCCCAGGAAAACACCTGGCACGTGCCAGGGACCCACAGTCCTGTCCACCTTCCATGGTCCCCTCCAAGCCCAGAGCGAGGGCCTGCACTCCCTGACAGAGCAGCAAACAGCAGAGATGCAAAAATAAATAAATAAATATAAATAAATCAGCATCTCACACAGGAAAATTGCAACAGGTTCAGGAAAAGCAGCCAAATGCTCAGTGCCAAAGCTCCAGGCTGAGCAGCAGCCCACGCACAGGCAGGGACAAAGAAACACACAGCACCATGGAACACTGGGGATTCTCAGCACTCAGGGCTAAACAGAACAACCTGGAGGCTAAAAGAACAACCTGGAGGCTAAAATAAAAACCTGTAGGCTAGAAGAACAACCTGGAGGCTAAAAGAACAACCTGGAGGCTAAAAGAACAACCTGGAGGCTCAAAAGAAGAGCCTGAAGGCTAAAACAACAACCTGCAGGCTAATTTGAGGAGAACTTTCCCAATTCTTTTCTAACAGCAGCCCAGCTCTCCCCTGTTTGTTGCAGCCCAGGGATGCACATGGGGCAGAGGAGTCAGGGCACATTTTCACAGCCCAGCCCAGCCCAGCCCACAGCAGGAACAGCCAGGAGAGTGCTCCGTGCAGGATGGAAAAATGGCTGGGATCTGACATGCAAAGTAACCCAGATTAAATTTAGAAAAAGGTCCTTGCACACAGGGGGCTTGTGCAAAGGGGTTAGCAAGAATTGAAAGATGGAAAGGAAAGCTTTGAGGAACATTCACCCCCTTCCCTTCAGGAGATGAAACCACAAACTCCTGTGACAGCCTGGCCCATGGGCAGGACCCCAAGGGCTGGGTGAGCAGTGTGTCCATCCCATGGTCACTGCTCAGCTCACCCTGCCCTGCCCCAGACTGGTTTGGTGACAGCAGAGTCACCTCCACTGCAAGGGGATGTGCTGGGTGCATCACTGAGAAAAAAAAAATCCCATTGTCTCCTTAAACCATATGGGGAAAAATACCTAAAACTATATCTGTTGTAAGTACCATAGAGTAGTATTTAAGTATTAAGTATTTATTAAATAGTATTTAAATTAGTGTTTATATTAGTATGTATATTAGTATTTATATTAGTATTTATTAGTATATATTAGTATATTAGCATATATTAGTATATTTATTAGTATTTGTCATTACAGTATTTGTATTAGTATTTAAATTTAAATTATTTAAATTAAGTAGTATTAAGTAGTATTTAAATATGAAGCATTTAATTTTGGGGGATGGTGGGGACGGACCCTGTGCTGCAGAGCCTGTGGTCAGGACAGAACTGGCCTCCAGCCCTCAGGGGGCTGGGGACTATTTTTTGAGCTTGGCAAGGAGCTGGAAAGCTGCATGTGATCCACTTGAGTTGGAAAAAATAGTCTGGAGAGGACTGGCAGTTCCTACCCCCAGCAGGAACCCGCCCGTGGCCGTCCCTGGAAGGCTTTCAGCAAAGAGAGGGACAGGAAAGCAGCAGAACAAATGTTCAGCTCAGCCTCGAGAGGGGCACCCTGGCGCTCTGGGAGCTTCTCCTGCCCCTCCACACGAGCTGCAGAGGCTCAGGCAGGAGAGGAGGGGAGGGAAACAACACGGGGAGGATGGGCTGGAACTGGAGAGGGCAGGTTCAAAGGGTGTCAGGGAGAAATTCCTCCCAAATCAGCTACGGCTGCCCCTGGATGCTGGAAATGTCCAGGTTGGATGGGGCTGGAGCAGCCTTGAGACAGTGCTCACAGGGTCTGAGGATGAGGAAGAGATGAGGATCTGACTCCGTGTTTCAGAAGGCTTGATTTATTATTTTATGATATATATTACATTAAAACTATACTAAAAGAATAGAAGAAAGGATTTCATCAGAATGCTGGCTAAGAATAGAATAGAAAGAATGATAACAAAGGCTCTGTCTGAGCCAGCTGGGCTGTGATTGGCCATTAATGACAAACAACCACATGAGCCCAATCCCAGATGCACCTGTTGCATCCCACAGCAGCAGATAACCATTGTTTGCATTGTGTTCCTGAAGCCTCTCAGCTTCTCAAGAGGAAAAATCCTAAAGAAAGGATTTTCCATGACAAGATGCCTGCGATGCACCCTGGCCCAGTGGAAAGTGGAATAAAAGATCTCCAAGGTCCTTTCCAGCCCAAGCCACCCCCTGGTTTGTGCCAGGGCCACCTCAGAGCCCCCAGCAGCAGCAGGGCAGGGCCAGGCTCACAACCTGTGCTCCAGACCCTCCTCTGATCCCTGCTCAGCTCCCAGGATGGCCTGGAAATGTTCCTGACCTGCTCTGCAGCCCCCTGGCCCCACTGCTCCTGCACCCCCTGAATTCAGCTCCCCGTGCCCCCTCCTCCCTTTTTCCCCTTTTTCTGTGAGCTGCCCCGTGGCCATGCAGGGCTCAGCTGTGGGCAAAGCTCTGAAATGAGGCAGCAAAGCAGAACCAGCCCAGGCTGGCTCAATACCCCACTTGTAGTTATTAACAGCAGTACCACAGGAGAAGGAGCAATTCCACAGGCTCTGGCCAGTGCCATTCCTCCTATGTTTCCTCATTTCTGCAGAAGATCTAACCAGAAGGCAGTGAAACATGCCTCCAACCATACATTTTGATTGGCTTTTCCCTCTCCCTCTTTCTTCCCTCATTCTTCTGCTCCCTCTGTGATTCAGCCGAGCTGAATCTGCTACACAAGTCCAATTTGCATAAAATTATCCTCGTTCCATTCAGTTTGCTGCCCCTTGCACAGCCCCTTCTTTGCTCTGCTGGAAGATTTTGCCCTTTTCTGAGGCAGGCAAGCCAAGGGAACAGCAGCACATTACTGCTGCCTGCTGCCTAATTAACATCAAACCCCAGCACGGAGCTGCAGGGATTTCCAGGTGTCCTGGAACCATCCTTCCCTCCTCCCTTCCCTAAAAACCACCCCGACAACCAGGAGGGGACCTCAGGCTGCCTGACAGCCCCTGAGTGACCCCTCTGGGGCTCCAGGTAGGGTCAGAGCCCACAGCAGCACGGCTGGGCCACTCCTGGCATCCAGAGATTGATGCCAGAGGCTGTTCCAGCAAACAGTCCACAGAAAATGCTGTCACTCTGTCAGAAATTCACATTTTGTGAGTAGATCATTGTAAAATGACAGCAGGGAAAAAAAAATCTCTGCACGCTGCTGTAAATGTGAGTGTGGGGTTCTTAAAAAAGCCCTTTTTGGGGACCAGGGATATCTAACCTGGCTTTTGGGATATCTCACCTGGCTTTTGGGATATCTAACCTGGCTTTTGGGATATCTAACCTGGCTTTTGGGATATCTCACCTGGCTTTTGGGATATCTCACCTGGTTTTGGGATATCTAACCTGGCTTTTGGGATAGTTCACCTGGCTTTTGGGATATCTAACCTGGCTTTTGGGATATCTAACCTGGCTTTTGGGATAGTTCACCTGGCTTTTGGGATATCTAACCTGGCTTTTGGGATATCTAACCTGGCTTTTGGGATATCTCACCTGGATTTTGGGATATCTCACCTGGATTTTGGGATATCTAACCTGGCTTTTGGGATATCTCACCTGGCTTTTGGGATATCTAACCTGGCTTTTGGGATAGTTCACCTGGCTTTTGGGATATCTCACCTGGATTTTGGGATATCTCACCTGGCTTTTGGGATATCTCACCTGGCTTTCAGCCTCCCAAATGGTTCCTACCTGTAAGCTAAGGAAGAGGCTGACAGGAAGGAACAACCAAAATTGCCCACAGGTGATAAAACATCAGGAGACAGCAAAGGACAGACCATGCACCACTCTCAGGCCTTGGAGTCACCAAGGTGGGCCATGAGCAAACATCCACAGGCACAGAGGGAGGAGATCCCAGGCCAGACCAAGCACAGGACAGCTGGGACATTTACACTGAGGGAAGTACCCTGGGAGGGGGCTCTGAGCAGCCTGGGCTGGGGGAAGCTCCCTGTCCTCTGCAGGACTGGGGTGAGATGAGCTTTAAGGTCCTCCCACCCCAGGCCATTCTGTGCTGATGCTGAGGAAATGCAGAGCAGATCCTGCCTGGGCTTCATGTCCAGCCTTGGGAGCAGCATGGAAACCAGGCTGCAGCCCCAGGAGGGAATCCAGCCCAGCCAAGGCTGCATTTCTGCCTCTGCACCCTCTGTTTGTGAGTGTGCACAGAGGCAGCCAGGCTGTGCTGCTGGCAGCTCCTCTGGAGCCCCCAGAGCCACACCAGGCTCACATCAACACCATCTGCCAAACCCTCCTCACCCCAGTGGTACTTTTTGGTTTTTTAAAATTTTTCTAAGCCTTCTGATGTTGACATTCTTGTAGTGAACTTTCTCCCACCCTTTCTGTAAATAACTCGTTGTTTTGTATTTTTTTACAGAAGAAGAGAAAGTTGATGGACTGTTTGTTTGTTTAGTGTAACTGGAGAGGCAGCACTGTCACCCTCTGATCCACTGTCACCCTTAGAAAGCTATAAACGTTGGAGTCACTAAATAAAATTCTCTTTTTCTTCACCTTGAGAACAGCAGTGTGAGCTTGTGTTCTTTCATGTCCTACAGTGACACCCCAGGACACCCCAAGGCAGCTGGGGATGCTCCAAGGGGCAGAGGGAAGGGCTCAGTGCCCAGAGGGGCTGGCAAGGCATGGCTGAGCCAGCAGGGACCAAAAACAGGCTGGTTTTTTATTTCAGTTCCCTCTGGGGCTCACAAAGCACAAGGCAGAGCCCTGGGCTATCCCAAAATCCACACTCCCAAGTCAGAATATTCCAGCACCCCAAAATCAGAATATTCCAGCACCCCAAAATCAGAATATTCCAGCACCCCAAAATCAGAATATTCCAGCACCTCAAAATCAGAATATTCCAGCACCCCAAAATCAGAATATTCCAGCGCCCCAAAATCAGAATATTCCAGCAGCCCAAAATCAGAATATTCCAGCGCCCCAAAATCAGAATATTCCAGCACCTCAAAATCAGAATATTCCAGCACCTCAAAATCAGAATATTCCAGCACCCCAAAATCAGAATATTCCAGCCCCTCTAAGCTTCCTTATCAGCTCCTGCCCCAGCCTGTGACACAGGGGACACACCCAGGCCTGAGACCAGCAGGGATGTGTTTGGTGGGAGCACATTTAGCTCTGCTGACCCTGCAGCACATCTGCTCCAGGGGAAGGGGCACCAAGGGGCAGCTGGGCAGCCTGGCTGGGAGCTGGGGATGCTCTGGGAGGAGCAGGGCAGGCCCCAGGAGCTGCCTGCAGCACACAATGGCCCAGTTTCATTTAAACCTGGCAGCTGCAGACATAAGGAAGGCTGCTGGGAAGCAGGAGAGGAGAGGGGATTAGAAAGGAACACTTTTGTTGAGAAAGCACTGTAATTCCCTCTCCTGGAATGTTCCTTTGAACAGAAGATTGGAGGGTAGGATGAGGCAAGGCCTGCTCCACGAGCACCTCAGCAAAGCCTTTCAGGCTCTGTCACCTGGGCTGGGTGCTCACAAAGGCACTAAGCCCTCTGAGCAGCCAGATCTGCCCCTGTGCCTGGGCAGCAGGGCTGGAACAGCACCCACAGCACCCACAGCAGGGCTGGCACAGCACCCACAGCACCCACAGCAGGGCTGGAACAGCACCCACAGCACCCAGAGCAGGGATGGCACAGCACCCAGAGCACCCAGAGCAGGGCTGGAACAGCACCCAGAGCACCCACAGCAGGGCTGGAACAGCACCCAGAGCACCCAGAGCAGGGCTGGCACAGCACCCACAGCACCCAGAGCACCCAGAGCAGGGCTGGCACAGCACCCACAGCACCCAGAGCAGGGCTGGAACAGCACCCAGAGCCCAGAGCAGGGATGGCACAGCACCCACAGCACCCAGAGCACCCACAGCAGGGCTGGCACAGCACCCACAGCACCCAGAGCAGGGCTGGCACAGCACCCACAGCACCCAGAGCCCAGAGCAGGGCTGGAACAGCACATACAACACCCAGAGCCCAGAGCAGGGCTCACACAACACCCAGAGCCCAGAGCAGGGCTGGCACAGCACCCAGAGCACCCAGAGCAGGGCTCACACAACACCCAGAGCCCAGAGCAGGGCTGGCACAGCACCCAGAGCACCCAGAGCAGGGCTGGCACAGCACCCAGAGCACCCAGAGCAGGGCTGGCACAGCACCCACAGCACCCACAGCACCCAGAGCAGGGCTGGCACAGCACATACAACACCCAGAGCCCAGAGCAGGGCTCCTTTTCTCCTCCCAGCCTGTGCCAGGAGCCTGGCAGCCTGCAGGGCAGCCCATGGCCAGGCAAAGCTGGCACCTTGCAGCCTGTGACAGCCCAGACATGCCCTGGATCCACCCCTCCAGACTGGATTTCTGCAGGGACAGGGCTGCCAAGGCCCCTGTGCTGCCAGATGGTGGCCCTGCACTCCTCATCTGCCTGCACTGGGCACAGGGGTGCTGATGGGCCCACAAAGCCCTCTGGGGCTCCCATTAAAAGCTCTTTTTCTCTCCCTATGGCTTCCCCTTGCTGCTCCTGCATGAGGATGTTTGCTGTTCATTTGAACAAATAATTCCCCAAACAGTTTCTGCCCACAGAAGCCACCAAGAGCAGGTTGCACTTGTGTGACTTTGTCAGCAGATTTAAGAGCTTTTCTGTCCTCTCTGCTTCCCTGTGGGCAGCTGATGGCAATCCTGCCATGGCCAAAAGCACAGAGCCTGAGCTGTGATCAGGCAGCTCACAGGGACTGACTGGGATTGCTTCTGCCACAATTAAGTTAAAGCATAGCAGGGTTAAATACCAATAATGAAGAATTTAAATACGAATTTAAAAACCTAATTAGAAATTTAAACCATTATCAGTTTGCTGTTTTCTCCATGTGAATGTTTGCCTCAGTAAAACCTGGGGGCTCTCAAAGGTTCACAGACACCTGACACAAAGGGACCAGGGATTCAAAATATCTGAAAAATGTGTGAAAAATGTGTGGCATCATGTAACAGCAGCTCCCAGAGGGAATGCTCTCCTGAGGGCTCCCTGCACCTGCTCCTGGGTCCCCAGCCCTGCAGAGCCTCCAGGGACATTCTGGGATATTTTGGCTCTGGGGTTTGCCCTTGGAGTGCATTTTTAGCTTTTCAGCCGAAGAATTTGTGCTACAGAAGATACAGAAAAGCACATGAGGAGCACGGACCATGGTCAAGAACAACAAAAAGAAGATTTAAGCAGGACAATGTCGGGGTTTTGAGATTTCCTTGTCCTGGGTTTAACACCAGGTGTGGCTTCAGAGCTCCTGTGCCACCATCAGCCCCTGGGCACCTGCAGCCACCCCCGAGGAGAGCAAGGAGCTGCCCAGGAGCCAAATTCACCCCTGGCACCTGGAGGCACCTCCAGGGAGCTGGACCTGCCCCTGAGCCTGCTCTCCCTGCACAAGGAACATGCATGGTGCCTTCTCCATGACCCCGAGGAGCAGAGCTGGGCTCACAGCACTGCCCCACCCAACTCAGAGCAAGGGCAGAGGAGATTTCAGGCCAAGGAGCTGCTCCTGGAGCAGGGAACATCTCTCCTCTCCCAGCTGCCCTTGTCTGACTCAGGCTGTGCCCAGAGCAGAGCACTGGCAGCCAAAACTCCCTGAGCAGCAAAGGCAACTGAGGCCAGCAGGGAAGAAATGGAGGGAGAAGGAAAGGGAGAAAAGAGCATTATAAAGGGGCACTAAAAATAGCCTGCAATTATGTACAAATATTCTAGAAATGCAGGGACCAGATGAGCCCAGGCACATGTCCCATTGGTAGCAGGGCTGGCTGGGGACAGCCATTCATTCCCAGCAGAGCAGAGCCTGAAAACCATCTCATAAAAACTCCTGATGGGTTCCCAAGGAAATGAGACCAGACCCCAGCAACAGCCAGAGCAGGGCAGAGATGCTGGGGAACAAAGGAGGCAGGAGGGGCCCGGCACGGACCGACAGTGGCACCCGGTGGCTGCGGGGACTCACTGCGACCTCAGAGCCAGCAGGGACCAGCACAGACAGCTCCAACCCTCCCGGGAAAGAGGGATGGGCTGAGCCCACACACAGCCAGAACAACCTGCTCCAGGGCCAGCTCCCCCCGGAATAACATGAGCTGCAAGGTCCTCCCAAGCCAAATCGCTCTGATCCTATGGTGCTGCAAGTTCTGATAATCAGGTTTGCTTTTTTGAAATGAACTGGAGATGCCACCCTCCTCTCCAGGAGGAGGCAGCAAGAAAAGTGCCCCTATCACCACTGCTGTGCAGCCCAAACCATCACGGTTTTGGCTGGTTTTGGATGCTTTTGGTTGTGGTCATAAGGAATGCAAAACTGAAAATCAAACTGTGCCAAGCCCAGCATTTTGTATAAAACTCTGATCTTGGTCTGCTCCATCAAAGAATCCTGTGCTACAAAAGATGTCACCCTATCCAGCCAAGGCAGGAAGGAGCAGAGCCACACAAGCAGCCAGAAAGGGCTGGCAGGAGAGGGACAGAGACTGTTTGACTGCTCTGTATTAAAATTCTGATTAATTGATTATTCTGTCTGGAATTGCACCTTTTGGAAGGCTCTGGATTCAGCCAGAGCTGACATTCCAGAGATCATTTCCAACCCAAGCTGAAGCTAAAAACCAGAAAATTCATGAAAACTATCCTGCTCAAATGAACCCCCTTTCTCCAGCAGCCCTGGTGCCAGCTCCCTTTGCCAGGGCAGGGTGAGCCCCTCCCAAAGCTGCCTGCAGAGGCAATCTGACCTGTTGGGGTGGGAGGTGGGCAGCATGAACTGGAACTCCACCACGCAGGTGTTGTCCTTCAGCTGGCGGTGCTGCACGCTGTTCAGCTCGTAGGCAATGTAGGCTCTCCTCACATACACCTGGGCAGGGACACAGAGCCATCAGACACCTCTCAAGGGTCCAAAACAAACAGATCCCTGCAAATGAGCAGCTGGACAAACTCCAATTCAGCCAGAGTTTGTTCTTTGAGAAAGGCCAGAACCATCAGGGTTACGATCCTGTGCTCTGGCAGCAGCTTCACCTTCTGCCTTCCAAGCACCTCAGTCTTCACACAAACAAAACCTGAATTTGAAATTTCACTCAATTATCAATATTAATGCTACTAACATTAATTCTAACCTCAGTCTTCACACAAACAAAACCTGAATTTGAAATTTCACTCAATTATCAATATTAATGCTATTAACATTAATTCTAACCTCAGTCTTCACACAAACTAACTTGAATTTGAAATTTCACTCAATTATCAGTGTTAATGCCGTTAACATTAATTCTAAGCATGCCCAATCCCACACAACCTACAGCTCTCTTAGATCTTGCAGAGTTGCTCAAAACAGCTGCAGACAGGGCTCAAAACAAACCAAATCCACAGGAAAATTGAAATATGAGTTTTTTCAATGGGAATAAACTCACCTCCAAAGCTGCCATTCTCACCACCTGGTTACTGTGGTAGAAGAAGTTGGGAAGCACATCAAAGATGGATGTCTCAGACAAAATGAGTTTCTAGGAGAGATCACATTAAACAGAGGTTTAAAAGAGTGTCTTGCAACCAGGATCCGACAGAAAAGGAAAATCCCCAAATCAAGCCTGGCTAGTTCTGATTTCTAAGCTTTTCTTGTTGTTTATCAAGGATTATGACTTTTTTTATATTAAACCACAGAAAACCTGAAGTTGGAAGGGATCACTGAGTCCAACTCCCTGCTCCTCACAGGACTAAAACTGAAACCATGTGAGAGGAGCTCATCCTGGAGCTGCCCTGGAGCTCTGGCAGCCTCAGGGCTGTGCCCATTCCTTGGGGAGCCTGGGCAGTGCCAGCACCCTCTGTTCTGGGGAAGAACCTTTTCCTAATGCCCAGTCTGGACTCCCCCAGGCACAGCTCCATCCATCTCCTCGTGCCTGGTGCCCAGAGGAGGAACCAGCACCTCTGCTCTGCTCTGCCCTGGGAGGAAGGTGCAGAACTGGCACCAGGCCATCCCCACACTGCACAGGGACAGAAACAAAACCCAGGGCAAAGCTGGACACCAGACCAGCAGAGCTGGAAGGCAGAGGGACGTGAAGGTCAGCGAGAAGGGAGCCAAGGAGAGGGGCTGGGGGTACCTGCAGGTTCTCAATGCAGAACTGGTGGCCGTACATGTCGATGGCAGACAGGAAGATGGACTCCACCTGGTTGTGGCGCAGCTCGTAGGAGGGCAGGTGGGAGGCAATGAGGACCTGGGGAAACACAGGCAGGCTCAGAGGAAGGAGCCATGCAGGGCCAGCAGCAGCAGCAGCTGCTCCATCCCTGGGGAGGCAGCCAGAGCCTCCCGTGCCCTCTCCCCTCCCCAGCTCGTTTGTGTGTCTGCTCTGTTGGTGTCATGGGCAATTCCCCAGGGAACAGCTCCAATCAAGTTCCATCAGTGCCTGGGATCTGGCAGGGCAGAGCTGCCAGGGCTGGGGCTGCCTGCCCAGCTGCTCATGGGGAGGCAGAGCCGGCAGGGAGCAGCTGTGGGGACACCCAGGCTCTGCCCCTGGGCAGGGGAGGGAACAGCCACCAGGACCAGGCATCAAATGCCCAAGGTGAAGGATGCAGAGGTAGGAAATGGAAGCAGCCTGCAGGGAAAATGAAGTGGAAGAGCAGCACAAGGGCTGCAGCACCATCCCCAGCTGCCATGGCGAGGTTCAATAGTGGAACGGTTCAAGGACACAAACACAATCCTGGAGCAAACAGAAGGTCACTGAGCAGCTTCAAACACCCTGCTCATCTTCAACAGCCAAGCTTTGACATAAAAGGAGAGACCCCCCAAGTGTGAGCTTTCCTGCGTTAGGCTGGAGATGGGGAGTGTGCAGGGAGAGCAGTGATCACACCCTGGGGTCAGCGCTGTCAGGAAACCTCTCACCCCTTCCTGGCAACAGAGGGAGGGCTCAATGAACTGCTGAGGAGGAAGCTCACAACAATATCTGGGTGCCTGTGTGACACCCAAATCAGTTCTGCAGCAGGCTCTTGGAATTTACCGCATCCAGAGTTTTTCCAGTTATTTCCAGGTTAGAACAAAATTGACAAAGCACAACTCAAAGATGGGAGAAGCCCTGCAAAAGGGCAGCATAGTTCTTTGTGGTAATTCCTTAGCAGCTGCAAAGAACAGCTGGTTCTTGTGCAAATGGCTCTCCCTGTTCTCTGCACACACGGATCCACAACTGTAAGGCAGCTGAGGAACCAGGAGCTCCAGCTCCAGCCATGGAGCCCCTCCATGCTGTTCCTGCACAATCCAGGCAGCCTGTGCTGCTATGACAAAACCACCAAAAACCACAGTGGCCACACATTTCCACCTCCTCCATCGCACAAACCACGGGCTACTCACAGTTAACCCCTGTGTGAGCCAGACAAAACTTTTTTTGGAGGAGCAGGGACAAGGGAATGCATGTTGAATTTAAATATGACAGTGATTGGGAATGCACCACAGTTAATCACTGTCAATTAGCTTCACTGTCAAAGTGCTGCTCGCTGGAACCTACTGTCCCCATGTGCACAGTGATCAAGACAAACATGAGGAGCTGTGGGTTTGCAGGGCTGAGCTGCAGGCAGGAGCAGACTGGGTGTCACAGACAACTTTTATAAAAAATCCTTTCCTTAGGATTTTTTCCTCCTGAGAAGCTGAGAGGCCTCAGGAACAAAATGTAACCAATGGTTATGTGCTGCTGTGGAATGCAACAGGTGCATCTGGGATTGGCTCATGTGGTTGTTTCTAATTAATGGCCAATCACAGCCCAGCTGGCTCGGACTCTCTGTCCAAGCCACAAACCTTTGTTATTCATTCTTTCATTCTTTTCTATTCTTAGCTTAGCCAGCCTTCTCATGAAACTTTTTCTTCTATTCTTTTAGTCCAGTTTAATGTAATATATATCATAAAATAATAAATCAAGCCTTCAGAAACACGGAGTCAGATCCTCATCTCTTCCCTCAACACAAGATCCCTGTGATCACGGTCACACCCGGGCAGGTGCCTCACCTGCCGTGCCCTCAGGGCCACCTTGGCGTTGGTCGTCTTGCTGAGCTGGGTCAGCTCTGTCAGGATATTGATCAGCTCGTCTGTCAGGGTGGGGTCACGGCCACACAGCTGGTCCTGCCAACACAGACAACAAGAAATGCTTGGAGCACAGGGAAAACATCACCCGTGCTCTCCCAAAGGAGTCTGAGCCTGCAAACACACACTCAGGCTGGACCACGCCATCCCCAGCAGTCCTGACCTGAATCATCCTGCAATTCTGTGCTGACAAGGACACAAACATTCAGCATTCAACAATTTCACACACATAAATAAACAGTGAAAGAAGGGACAGGCACCATCTCCCATTCTCCTATCTGTAGCACATGTTTTGGCACCCAAAGACATGAGAAATGCTGACTTCTCAGAGAGACTCAGAAAACCTTTTCCCATTACCCAGTTTCAGGTTTGTACCACAAGTTTCTCCTTCTGGTACAGAAGTTTGCACCAATGCAAAGTTCAAAGAGCTTAAATTGTAGCCAGACACCTTGTGGAACATGTGAAGGTCAGCAAGCCTTCCCCATGAAGGGTGACCAGAGTTACACTGCCAGAGAACCTCCTGACACCCACCTAAAAAACACCTCAGACCTCAGAAGTCCCCACAACTCCAGAGCCACAAACCACCCAAGCTTTGTGCAGCTTCAGCCAACGCCAGAAAAAGGATCTGTCACTGCTCTGACAAGGCTAAGCAAAGCTAACTAAAGCCATGAATAATGTTCTGTATTTCCTGCCACCGTACTGGACTGACTCCATAATATTCCTTCTAACCAGAGAATCCTGGATCTGAGCAAATCCACAAGCTTTCCTTACTGCCTAAATTGGCTGGATAAAACAACAGAACTGAAGAGCACAAACTCGCAGTGTTAATGCTGTTCCAAAACTCTTCTGAATTCATCCATTCAAAAAATGCCAACAGGAGAGACTTCCTTCCAAAAATAGTTTCAATTCCCATGAATAATCCCACAGTCTTCAACACTTCTTGTGAGCTTCCTCCCTCCCACCCCGAAGCTGGGAAGCCTCTAGGAGCCTCTAACGTGATTCTTCCACACAGCACTTAACAGCTTGTCTTGATAAATTAATCATAGCAGGGAAATGTGAGATGAAACAGGGATTTGCCACGAGAAAAGAGCTGGTGCCTAAAAGTCTAAAGAGATCTAAAACACCTATGGACCAGAACAGGCTATCTGAAGAGCCAAGGAACAGAAAAGGATAAGGGGAAACCTCTGTGCAGTAGGTGGGATTGACAAACCTGCCCGGGAAAATAAATTAAAAACCAAAGCCAAATAATACAGAAGTCCCACAGGGTGAGTAACTGCAGCACAGCTCACAGTCCACGAGATTCCAAGGCTCAGCAGCTCTTCCCTCACTCTGCTCTTGATCCCCTTCTCCCCAGCCCCACTCAGGCTGCTCCAGGGATGATGGCACAGCTCTCCCAGGGAGGCAGACCAGACCCAAACCACTGGGAAAACACCTGAGAAAACACCTGGGAAAACACCTGAGCTCCTCACTCTGACCAGACTGCTGTCCCCTCCTGGGCAGCCCTGGGCCACCAAACACGAGTGTGACTGCTCCCAAAGCAAGTTCAGTGCATTTATCCAGCCCAGGGCACTGTGGGGACAGTGAGGAACTCAGGAACTGCTGGGTTTCAAACACAAACTCCTGGAGCTGCTGTGCTGCTGCTCCAGGGAGCAGAAATCCCACAGGACAGGGGACCCTGCCATGGCAGCAGCCACTCCATCCTGCTCAGGCCAGGATGTGCATAAGTTAAGCCCAGAAAATGAACACACAACAACAAATCACACCATATTTCAACAGATGTATGAAGGATGAAGCAGCTCCCACCCTACCTGCAGTGCCTGCTGGCTCTAAAAGGTGAGTGATGGCAGCACAACAGCATTACTGAAGGCATCCTTGGAGCCCCTGGTTAATAATGGGCTCCTGGATCCATCAGTAACAGCCCCACAGGCAGACAGGCTGCCCTGACCCCAAACACACCAACAGCCTGGACCCCCAAACACACCACAGCTGCCACCATGGTCACACCAAACACACCACAGCTGCCACCATGGTCACACCCAACACACCACAGCTTTCACTGTGGTCACACCAAACACACCACAGCTGCCACCATGGTCACACCCAACACACCACAGCTGCCACCATGGTCACACCAAACACACCACAGCTGCCACCATGGTCACACCCAACACACCACAGCTTTCACTGTGGTCACACCAAGCACACCACAGCTGCCACCATGGTCACACCAAGCACACCACAGCACATTTGGAGCCACGAGGTGGGAGAGGAGTGATGATCTTTTGGTTCATGGAGAGCCTGGAAGCTCAGGGACACCCAGCTGTGCCAGGGGTGACCATGGTGTCCCTCCTGAACTCCTGTTCCCACTGCAGAGAGGAAATCCCTGTGCCCCCCATGAGGCAGCTGTGGCTCAGATAACCAGGAGTGGCTCTTCCACCAGGGTCTCTCTGGTGATTCTGGCTCAAGTTGGTCTTCACTTGAGCAGAACTAACAGGCAGTGATGGTGGGAAGAATGTCCCAAGAGCAAGGGACAAGGGAGGCTCTCTGAGGTCTCCCCAGTGCCCCTCACAACAGCAAGAGGCAGCGAGGCACGGCCCGCAGCAGGTGACAAAGCAGACTGAAAGTTGCAGTCCTGTTCTAGCAAGGACTGCTCAGGATGACAACAAGAAGCCAAAGGCAGGGCTGGCTGTGCCTGCACTGATTGGCAAAGGCAGCAGCAAAGCCTGAGCCCAGCTCCCTGACAAGGGCTAACGCCTCGCCGGCACCCCCGTGTAATTACACACTTGAGTGACTGGACTCTGAAGAAAATTGAAGGCCTGAGCTGTGAACAGCTGCCATTTTCTCTCTCCATCACGCCAGCGTGATTACTTGAGAAATGAACAGCCCCAGCTCAAAGCTACTCCAGAATTCTCAGAGGAAATATGGCTCCGTGTTCAAATAATGAGATTCTTAAGGCAAGCGTTACTTACAATCACACCACACACCAAAAAGGGAAAGGGGGAAAAAAGGGGGAAAAGGAGAGCCAGGAAGAAAGAACACCAGGATCCTTACATCTTACAAATGAGAATTTAAGAAACCTAGCTTGGGTCTAGGAAACTATGACACTTTTCTTGCTCTGGAGAGTTATTTTGTGGATGGCTACTTTGGATGTATTTTGGGCAGTAACAGACCACACTATGGTTGTAAAATAAAAGACAAAAGAGAGGAAGAGAGAGAGAAAGAGAGAGAGGAAAGAAAAGGAAAAAGAAAAGGAAAAGGGATAAAAAGAAAAAAGAGAAAAATAAAAAGAGAAAAAAGAAAAAGAAAGAGAGCAAGCAAGCAGCAGGCACTTACAATGAGCATGGTGACCAGCAGGTTCTTCTTGGTGACCTGGGCATGGGAGAAGATGTAGTTCAGCACGGCGTTCATGTCGCTCTTGTTCTCCTCACGAAGGGTGAAGACACACTTGTCATAGTGACCTGCAGGCAGAAATGCACATTGCTTTTCCACCCTTCACACCTCTGTGGCAAGGATTGCAAGTTACTAGATGTGTCTGTACTTTTCTAGGTGTATTTTTTGAGGATCTGCTTGGGTTGAAGGGAGCTGACAATGGAGAGAGACTATTTACAAGGGATGGAGTGACAGGACAAGTGGGAATGGCTTCACACTGACAGGGAGCAGGGTTAGGTTGGGTATTTGAGAAAAATTCCTACCTGTGAGGGTGGGCAGGCCCTGGCACAGGGTGCCCAGAGCAGCTGTGGCCGCCCCTGGATCCCTGGCAGTGCCCAAGGCCAGGCTGGAAGGGCCTTGGAGCACCCTGGGACTGTGGAAGTTGTCCCTGCCCATGGCAGGGGTGGAATGAGATGTGCTTTAAAGTCCCTTCCAACCCAGACCATTCTGTGTTTCTCTGTGGTCCACACAATCAATTTGGGAAGGAATCATTCCCACCATCACCTACTGCAAACTTTAATTCTAACATCCCACTCTTAATAAACAGCTCCAACACCAAATGCCTCCTTTGTGAGCAATTCTGACAGAGGAATAGGGAACTCAGACTTTCATTCAAATGACAACCAAAATGAAATAACAGCAAAAAGCCTTGCACCATCCTCTGCTGCCAGCAAATTGAAGTGGAAATGAATCTGCAGTACCATTAGGCCAGGGCAGGTAATGGAGCAGGACAAAAGAAGAGTGGAATCTGAACTACCTGTAAGAGCCAGAGCCTCAGAATTAGCCAGGGCTCCATTGCCATCTTGTGCCTGGATCCAGCAGTGCAAGGCATTGATTTCACCTCTCAGCTTCAGCTGAGCTCTGGGGGACAGAACCTCCTCTACAAAACCCAGGGTCCCACTGCAGACCCCAAAAACAAGCCAGTGCACCTCACCTCAGCACAAAGTGAGGGCAAACCTTCCCCAAAGGGCCCACGTGGACTTCCCAGGACCAAACAGAGCTCTTTAAGAAACCAGATCCTTGGTGTGCCCAGGAACTCACCGTGCTGGAACTGAGTCTCCACCTTCAGGTACTGCCGGAGCAGATCCATCACCACGGCCTTCATGTGGCCCCGAATGCCACTGCGGTACCTGCAGGGGCACCAAGGCAGCCCTGAGCGAGCTGAAGGCACAGCCAGCCCCTGCCATGGCTGCTGGGGGGCTCCTGCTCTGCAGGACACCCTGGCAGGGCTCACCTCTGCACCAGCTGCACGATGCTCTGCGTGTTCATGAAGAAAACCTCGCGCTCCGACTTGCGGTTCAGCGTGGCCGCGTGGCTGTCCAGGATGTTGGCAATCTGAGAGGGAAAGGGACATGGAAAAAAAGCACAGGGAAAACCCTCAACGGGCTGGACAACCAGCAGAGACACAGCAGAGCCCCAGCAGACTCTAGCAAAGGAAGGTAAGACCTGCCAGTGATACAAAAATCAATGCACTGTGTCATACTGTGGAGAAATCAGCTTCCAGCATCTCCTCACCCCACCCGGCCTCCCTTGGCAAATCATCCTATCCTCCCTCAAAATCATCCTATTTTGAGGTTCCACTGGCACTACAAACTGCACTGCAGCACATGTACCAAGCCAAAAGGAAATAAATGCCCACAGGGCCACTGCTAAGATTGAAGTGTTCCCATTCCCAGCAGTGTGCCTGGTTAAAGCCACACTGAGCAGGGAACAGGGACCCTGCAGCACAGGTCAAGAGACAAGCCTTGAAGTGACACAGGTAAGGATCTTCCACCATCAGCACCCCCTGTTCAAACACACCTTTCAGGTTCAGTTAACCTCCATGCCATGTAAAGGAACTTTCTCTCTCTGTGTGCCCCAACCCAGAGCAATTTTTACCCCTCCAGGAAGGGGGGCTGCTCACCTGCTGGCTGGGGAACTGGCAGAGCACTGAGGTGATGTTGCTGGCATACTGGGCCATCTCCTTCTTGATGGACTTCTCCACGTTGGGTGGGATCCTCCCAGAAACACTGGTCATGATGTCCTGGAGCTCCAGCAGGGGCAAAGATGGATCCCTCAGGGTCTTCATCAAACGCTCAACCCATCCCTTCACCTGGAGAGGGACAAGGCAGTGAAGGCAAGAAAGAAGAAGAGAAAGAACAACAAGAGGAAAAAGGAGAGGGGTGATGTCCAACATCCCATCCCTCGTGGCAGGAAAATTGCCCAGCCCTTCCCTGAGCTGCAAGAAGGCTGTTTTGGCTCTGGAAGAGAGGCCCCCAGTACCTTGCTGCTGAAGAAGGGCTCTGGCAGGCAGTAGCCATTCATCACGTTGACCAGGTTGTCCAGCACGTAGTGGAAGATGCGATGGAGCTTCTCACCCCGCAGGGCTGTGCTCTGGATCTGGGGCAGGGTACCTGTGTGCAGCTCAGCCTGCAACAGGGAACAGCCTCACTGAGCCTCCTGTGGGCCACCAGCCCTGGGAACAGCCAGCCAGCCTCGGCTGGAGCCAAGGGTTAACCTGCAAGGATTCCCAGAGCACATCCCCACAACAGCACAATCCCCACAACAGCACTGAGGTAAGCAGAGAGCAGGAATGGTAGATAAGTGTGGCCTGAATCAGAGAGGGAGAGAAAAATCTCAGTGCCAGTCCTGATCTGATGAGACAAATAAACAGTGAAGTGACAATTGCAGTACAATGCACAAATGGGAAACTGGTTCACTGGAACATCCTGCACCACTCTCAACATTGCTCCCTCATTAAAACCCCACAATATCTGTGCCTTCTGCAACTCCTCACCTGCTGAACCCTGCTGGGATCATCCAGCTGCAGCTTGGCAATCACACAGCCTGGATCCAGGACTGCCCCTGGGCGTTTGACATAGTGGATGCAGCCTGATTCTCCTGCTGTTATGGTCATCACCATTTTCATCACCTGTAGCAAGGAAAGCAGGTTACACACTCAGCTCCATGTGCCCCAAAATTGCTCTAGTTTTGGGGGGCAGCAGGCAGTGTCCCACCCCAGACAGACCTGCATTCAGGTGTCCCCAAAACTCACAAGCACAGAGGTTGGGAACAAAACCCAGACACTGAAGTGAATGGGAGAACAGAATAATTGGCCACAAAATAGTGCGGCAGGAACTTCAGGAATGTCACTGCTCACACTGCCTGAACCAACAGGGGACTCAGGAAGGTCCCACTCTCAGCACAATGAACAAAGCAGACAATTTCCTGCTGCATTCCAAAGGCTCCTCTCAAAGGCTGCAGCCACATCTTCACTTCAAGCAGAGGGAACCAGGATCACTTTCTAGAGCTCTCAGACAGCTCTTCCCAGACAGAAATGCTTCCTTAGATCAAGAGCTGCTGCCTTTGGAGCAGGAGGGCTGGGTATGGGGGAGCCAGCTTGGTTTTACCCTTGCTCTGCTCTACACCATGGGGAGCCACAGGGATTGTGTGGGTGGTGCCTCCTTAGCCATGGCCTGTTGCAGTGCAAAAGCACTTACATAAAATAGCTGGATCTCTGTCTTGATATGTTTCTCCTACACATTGTCCCCAGCTGGTTTAATTGCCCCTCTGTCATCACACACCTTCCCCTCCCTCAAATCTGTTTTGAGCCACACACTCCTACACAACCCCTTGTGCTTTCCTCATCGTGATGCAGAAACTGCTCATCCTCCTCCTCCTCCTCAGTAAGAGTTAAGTAACTTCCTAGGGAGAAGGGAGGAGTGACACTTATTAACTTCTGGGATCAACCTGATAAATGATCAGCTAACCAGGATAAAGTTTGTTACCTCATCTTGGCATATAACTCCGAGTCTGTGTCAGTAGTACAAGGAGAAGGCCTTCTTCACCTCAGCTGGGAATGGATCCCCCCTTCCCTTGGAATCTCAGGAAGGTGATAATCCCAGGATTTTTGGGAAATTTTCTTCATCACTTGGTGTACAGTCATTAACACTCAAATTTCTGCTGTTAAATTTCTTCCCCACCCCATCACTCTCACTGATGATTCCCGCTGTACTTCAGGTTAAAATTTGCAAGTTAAACACTGTGAATGACCCCCCATGTTCAACTCCCAGTCCCAAAGCACCCAACACCCCTCCCCCTGAGCTTTGTCCAAAGCAGTTCTCTGGGAGTTTTACCTCAATTTCTGCAAAGCACTGGCCTGCAAACACGTGTCCCCCATCCTCCACCACATACTGGATCAGCTTCCCAGCAGAGGGGGAGCGCAGGATGGAGGGATCATTCTCCTTCTCAAACACACAGGTCTTGTTCCCAATGGTGATGCGGTACCTGGGGGACAGCAGGACAGATCAGCAGGACAGAAATCCCTGGGGAGGGACAGAATTCCTTGGGGAAGGTGTGGGAAAGGGAAAATCCAGTCTGGCTTTCCCTGTTCTACTTCGAAACAAAACTATGGGAAAGCGCCTCAACCAATGGAGAGGTGGAGATTGCAGCCCAGAGCTACCCAAATTCCCTGTCCTCCCGAGCAGATCCATTACTTTTCCCAGAAGATAACACAGCAGAAGGGGCAGAGTTCACATTCCAGAGCTGGGGATGCCTTTCACTGCCCTTACTGCTCTGATCCTTGCAGGGAATTTTAAGGGGATGCACTGAAACAGCACAACTTGTCTTTATTTCTGAAGCAGCTGTGGAATTACAAGAATTTTAACGATTTTCAGGTTCTGTTTTTTTGGGGTTTATAATCTCAAAAGTCACTTTTAAGGACCAAGGAGAAGAATATGGACTCCACATGGTGCACAGCCAGATCCTTCTTCTAACAGTAGCCAAGTCTCAAAACTCACCCACAGCACACCCAGCAAACCCCTCCTAGGAGAGAATTCCCATCCCTGAAGACCTTTTGGGAAGCATAAAGTCACAAATACACCTCGTTTTGGCTGTGCAAATGCTAAAGGTGGAGCTGCAGAGGTTGCTACCTGTCCACTTCCTCCTTCATGTAGGTGGTGTAGCTGCTGCCATCGTAGGAGAGCAGCAGCCCCCCGTCGCTCAGGCGGTGCACGTCCACCTCCACGCAGGAGCTGTTCATGATCACCACGTAGCAGTTGGGAGACTGCCTGGTCACCTGCCAAGCCACAAGAATGGGAATTACCCAGTGGATTGAGCCCAGCATTGAGGGTCTTGCCTGCCACGACACAGAGTTTTCCAAGTGCTGCAATGGGGGGGATTGATGAAGAGGGACGGAGGTGTTTGATGTCGTGTGAAAAAATTGGGGTCACAAAGGCAAGCAAGCGAGCTGAGCAGAGGGATGGAGCAGCTCTCCTATGAGGAAAGGCTGAGAGAATTGGGATTGTTCAGCCTGGAGAGGTTTAAATGTGGCCTTCCAGGGCCTGAAGGGAGCCCACAAGAAAAATGGAGAGAAGGCTTTTTACAAGGGCCAACCCAAACCAGTCTGGGATTCTGTGACACAGCAGCCAAGAGATGCCAGGACTAGTGCTGTCCATGAATGTTGATTTAATCCTCTCACACTTCTGCACTGAAGGTTGAGGTTTGATTGTGCAATCACAATTTGCTCATCCTCATCTCCTTACAAGGCACAGTTGTGCACTTACACTGCATAATGGAGGAGATAATCTGGGGGGAAAATGAGAGATTGTCCCTCAGGGAAAGCAACAAGTGCTCTCCCTGAGAAAGGGATCCTATCCCAGTCTCTGCCCCAGAGCTGCTATTTGAAGCTGGGTAAATCCTTTAAAGAACACTTCAGCTGCTGCTCAATGCTTCTATTCCTCATCAGAGATAAATCCAGGGAGGTGCAGAATTCTCACTGCTGCAAAAACCAGCCTATGGTCTTGCCATTAAAAACTTCACCATCACAAATTTGCCCTAGGAAGCTAAAGAGGATTGCACAGGCAACCTTAAATCTAATATTTCCTAACTTTCATATGTTTGGTTTTGCAACATGGGGCTTTTGCATGCAGCAAAAAAGCAACACCGTGGGGAAAAATTGCTGCAAATTCTGTCACGTTGGTGTGTCAAAACCCCAGCAGAGCAGACCTAAACATTCAGAAAAATCAGCTGGAAGTTCTGGCCAACCAAAACAAAATTACTTTATAGTAGTTTTTGCCTGTAAGAAAGCAAATTTCACCCTGCTCAGAGCAAGAGGCTGAAATGTTTACAGGGACATTGCAATGGGGCGACGCGAGGGGTGTTGCCTGCTGATTTCTTCACCCACTAAAGCAGAGCAAATCAGCCCTGCTCAGACAGAACTCCCTGCACAGATCTGTGCAAAGAGGAGGCCAGAGCAGCACAGGTGGCCATGCCCAGCCCAGGGCAGCAGGGTGGGTCCCACTCTGTACCTTCAGCACGTACTTCCGTCCCTCGTAGATGAGCTCCACGTCCACCGTGTTCAGCAGAGTGTGAGCAGGGAGGACTTGGCCCCTGGAAAGGGAAGGACAGAACAAAACTGATCTTCCACAAGCCACCAAGCGACTACCAGGACTCCAAAAAGCTTCAGAGATGCATGCAAGGCTTTAGGAAACACTAGCAGAGAGATGGGAGTAGGTTTTTATAGTCTCTTCTTAGGAGAGACACGAATCAGTTTGACCAAGTCAAACAAAGTCCCTCCAGCCACACAGGGCAGCTTTGCTCTCCTTTCCATTCATTCCTGGGTGATTCCAGACTCCCTAATGCCCTTGCAGCTCACAGAGCAAGAACTCCATGTTTCTGAGCCATTTCCTGGAGCTCCTGCTAGAAACCAAAGCAATCTGTGCAGCCAGCAGGGGATGTTTGGAGATGCAGATACCTGCCAGTTTTCTCAGCAGATAAAGAGCTCCCTGGGGCCAGGCAACAGCCAGCAGATAACAGCCCCTGAGCACTGCTGGACTGGATTGGACAGAACTTGCTCAGCAGCAGGAATTCCTAGAGATCAGCTTGGCCTCTCACCTTTCCAGGGAGTGCAGGAAGTTGGAGACGCTGTTTCGGAAGCTCACGTCAGCCACGTGCAGGGCCCCACACACCACCCCCAGCATGGTGTCAGGCCTCTCAGCCTAAAAAAGGGACAGCCACAGTCACACCTCCCCCAGCCTCAGCCCAAGCTGAACACCCAGCTACAAGAATCAGCAGCCTCAGCTCCATTTTTGGTTCATGGCCAACACTCTTTAAAAAAATCAAGCCACGTGAACTCTACACAGAAACCATTATTTCTGTAACTCTTAAAATTACATTTTCTCCTGCCTGGATCAAATCTCGAGGTTCCAACAACATTTCCACTATCATCTGTCCCAGATTCCAAACATAACATTGGTCTCAATGCTTTTCTGGACAACTTTAAGAACCAACTTTCCCCAACAGGGACGACCTAGGATTCCGATATATGTAGGAAGCAATGCCACTGAAAATGTTTATTCATTAAGTGGCCAGCAACCATTCCTACACCCTTTAGCAGCAGCAGGCACCATCCCTGCCCCCTGCCAGGTGTGTCCCTGCCAGGGGAAGCAGCTGCACCTGCACTTTCTCAGCGATGAGCCGGTCCAGCCAGCCCGTGTCGATGCGGTTCTGCTGGAAGCTCTCTGTCTCCAGCAGCTTGATCAAGTATTCCACAGTGGTCCTGAAGTCCCCTCGGATGGACAGCTCCTTCAGAGCCACCACCATGTTCCTGAAAGGGGAAAGAAGCCCTGTTATCTATCCCATCCCTTGGCAGCTGCAGACAGAAAAGCACCTGAAGGTCAGAGCAGAGGCGCGCAGGCACTGGGTGGAGCAGGGTCCTGAAGGGATGGTTGGGAATGGGAGAATATGGATTTCCCTGCTGCTGGTGTGAAGAGCAGCTCAGTGGGATCAGGAGTTCCCCCTGTTATCATCACCCAGGGTCCTACCACGTGTCAGGAGTGTACAACAGACAGACAGACAGACAGATGTGGTGTCCACCCCAGCCAGAGTGGAACTGGGAAAAGCTCTGGATGAAAAACGTGGATGACAGGTCAGACAGGTCTGCCTTAGGACCAGGTGCTTTGAAATCCCACACCACAGAGGACACTCCATGGCTCACAAACCATCCTGAAGCATTGGTCAGTCAGATTAGCAATGTTTTCCCTGTTAGAAGCCTTCACCTGGATGCTTTAAAGAGAGATTTTCACCCTGTGGTAGCTGTGTCACAGCCCAGCATCAGGTATACAAGGCAGGGATGAAACAGAAAGGAAGAAAACGAAAGAAAATTAAGCAAAAAGTGTAGAAATGTAGGTGCAACACAGTGGAATTGCAGATCGAGATAGGATGAGAAGCCTGGCCACAAAATGGAAAACAAGATAAAGATGGGGAAATTGCTCTTGAAGCTCCTAGAAGTAAGGAGCCTTGTTTTCCCTGGATCAAAGAGGACAAAGCCAAGCCATTCCCAAGCCTCCCACATCACTTACGAGATGGCCTCCTCACGGTTCTCCCCCCAGGAGAAGCAGTGACCAAACTGGGAATCAGCAAACTCGTGGAGCCCTCCTGCAGCAGCCACGCTGAAATAGCCCCAGACATTCTTATTGCTGCGGAAATTCAGCTCCTGAACCGTGCCAGAGCTGGGCTTAAACCCCTGCAAAGACAGACAGACACACAGACATTGCTCTGTGCCCTAAAGAAAAGGTGAATAACCCAGAATGAGGGTTCTGAGAACAGCTCTTTGTGCTGCAACGTGGTATAACAAGTTCAGGCTGTGTCTAACGGAGTCTAAGTGAGGTAAGGGAAGAATCTTTTAAATTTGCTGCCAAAATGTTGAGCAGCAGCAGCAGCAGGGAGAGGCCCTGGGCAGGCCAGTGTGACAGTGGTCACAGGGGTCTTAGGATGAGGGAAGAGACAGAGATCTGACTCTATGTTTTAGAAGGCTTGATTTATTATTTTATGATATATATTATATTCAAACTATACTAAAAGAATAGAAGAAGAGGTTTCATCTCAGAAGGCTGGCTAAGCTAAGAATAGAAAGGAATGAAAGAATGATAACAAAGGGTCTGTCTCAGACTCTCTGTCTGAGCCAGCTGGGCTGTGGTTGGCCATTAATTACAAACATCTGAGATGGGCCAATCATGGATCCACCTGCTGCATTCCACAGCAGCAGATAACCATTGTTTACATCGTGTTCCTGAGGCCTCTTGGCTTCTCAGGAGGGAAAACCCCTAAGGAAAGGATTTTGCATGACAAGGGTGATGGTGAGCAGCAGGAGGGGAGGCCTCACCTCGTCAGGGTTCTCGCTGGTGATGCGGGCGGCGATGACGTGGCCACGGGGGCTGGGCACGTGGGCCGAGTTCTCAAAGTCAATGGTTGTGTCCCCCCAGGGAGAAACTCCATACATCACCCTGATGTCCTTGATCCTGTGCAGGGGGATCCCCATGGCAATCTGAGGAGGGAAAACATCAATAAATAAATAAGCAAATAAACAAAGCCCCAGCACTGAGCTTGTCTCCTCACAGAGCCAAGCACTCACGCTTCCCAGGACAGCTCAGCTCAGTGCAATATCCACCTTAAGCCCTCCAGCCAGCATTTTCCATTGACTGATTAAAAGGCTCCAGGGAAAGCTGGCAGTGCCAGGTCAGCTGAGGATGGGCATGCATTAGGCCTGTTAAAAATATACTGAGGTCCCAGTGAGCCTGAAGGGCCCTAATTAGTTATAGGAAACTGTGGAATTTTGCAATTATAAACTGTGGGGAGAGCAATCTGCAGAGCCAGCTGCTGGCTGCATCCTTATGGAGCAAAATCCCATTTTCCCTGTTCATTAGTTGGGTTTTTTTTATAGATACAGTTCAAAAAAGAAGTAGAAAATCACGCAGAGCCTTACTGAGGGGACTGTGGCATCCACCCACTGCTGGAAAGTTGGGGGGACACACAAGGGACTGACAAGCCACAGCACACCAACAACTGCTCTCTACAGGATCTCTAAGGGATCCCCTGGTGCCCTTGGGGAGCTTCAAACAACTGCTGACCATCGCAGAAAGATGGGAAACTCCATCTGTGTGCTCACCTGGAGCTGTGCTGCTGGCAGGTTGACATCTGCCACCATCTCAGTGCAGGGATGCTCCACCTGCAGGCGTGGGTTCAGCTCCAGGAAGTAGAAGCTGCCGTCCTGGCTGTACAGGTACTCCACAGTGCCTGCGCTCACGTAGCCCACCATCTTGGCCAGCTTCACCGCACACTGGGACACACAACACAAGAACATTGCACTGCCAGTCACACAAAACAAGAACTGCATTGCCAGTCACCCCTGCTAGCTCTGCTCACCCACCACGCCCACTTCAGGTTTCTGCTGGCATTCTGAAACACCCCAACACTTGTAACGGGCCCAAGAGAAAAGCCAGTGGGACGGGAGTTTTGATTTCTGACTTATTTCATTTACAATTCACAGAAGGCAGAGTTTGAAGTAAATATTTGCAACACTCAACAGTAGGCAATTCCTGCAACTCCTGAAACTTGCTTTTAATATGGTAACACATTTAAAACACACTTCCCCCCCCTTTTTGGGGGGGATTTATCTTTGAAAGGAGCTGTTGGTGTGGAAATGTGAGTGCCAAGCAGGCGGAAACACACAACCCTCTACTGCTCCTTTAAAACACTCACCAATGCAAATGCAAAACAAAAATACCAAGTCCTGCCAGGGCAGGGCAAGCTGCAGAGGCACTCTCACCTGCTCCATGTGCTCAAAGACTGCAGAGGTGGCAATGGAGGCCGGGGCCTCCTCGATGATCTTCTGGTGGCGGCGCTGCACGGAGCAGTCGCGGCCGAAGAGCGAGATGGCGTTGCCGTACTGGTCTGCCAGGATCTGCACCTCCAGGTGCCTGGACTGCTTGGCCAGCCTCATCACAAAGATGGGGGAGCCTGGCACCTCTGTTTGAACCTGCAGCAGGGGCAGAGGGAGGCAGAGCACGTGGTGTGAGAGGCACCCTCAGTGCTGAGGTCCCACGGGGACCTGAGCGAGCCCAGGGCGGTGGGAGCATCACCTGTCTGAACAGGTTGGGGAAGTCATCTGCATTGTTCACTTTCCTGATCCCTTTTCCTCCTCCTCCTTCAGAGGCCTTGATCATGACAGGGTAGCCAACCTCCTCAGCAGCCTGGCAAAAGGGGCGGAACAGCAGGGTAAGGACAAAAAGGCAGCAGAATCCAGGGAAAATAGCATTATTTCCCTTCTGATTCACATCCATATCTGACTATTTAGCAACCAATGGCATAGAAACCAAATATTCCATTGGCAAGAGTGCCTGTAGCTGGAAAAATCAGCAGGGATTTTGTGATTACAGAGAACTCTGACCTCTGCAAGTGACCACAAAATCTTTTGTCAGTGCTTCAATGCCATTAAATCTAGAAATTCACAGAAAAGCTTTTATATAATACAGAAAATAATTTAAAAACCTGGGTAACATGAAAAAACCACACACTCTTCACAAAGGAAAACTCCAAATCCTGTATTGTGCCAGGAATATTTCTTATTCTAAAACTCCTCCTCGAGGAGAAATTCCAAATATGAAGTGCCACCCTGGGAGCCTCTGACCCATCCTGGGAGCCCCACAACCACCTGCAGAGCCCCCATACCCACCTTGGGAGCCCCAGAGCCACCCTAGAGCCCCCATACCCACCCTGAGGCCATCATCAGCATCCCTGACGTAGCCCTTCTCGTAGAGCTCCTGGGGAACGCTCAGGATGCGCTTCTGGAGGTCGTTCTCCTGCCAGTCCACTCGGAGCCCTGGAGCACAAAGTGACTTAAAACCAGACCACAAACTGACAAAGCCAGACTGGAGTCTGTATTTCCAGCTGAAGTCTGATAAAGCTCCTCTAAATGAACTCATTCATCTCCTCTGTCTATCCAATAATTCACAGGGATCAAGTCCCAGCCCCTGGGGCAGAGGAAGCCCCTGAGTTTAACTGTGTAGCCACGGTTAAAATGTGCACAGCCTACACAAATCCCCACCTTTAAACACAAGAAACGTCCTCACCCTCTGAGCTCCCTGTGCTGCCAGGCTGTGAGGAGCCACTGCAGGACACAAGTGACAGCCACAGCTGCCTGAGCAAGGGCTGGGAGCCCTCAGAGAAGGAGTGTGCAGAATGCAGCATTCCTGAGCTCTGGGCAGCAAGCATTTCTATCCAACCCCTCATATCCTCCTCCGTTCATCTGTGAGAAGCAGGCTGCAGTTTACAGAGTTTTGGAGCTGCAGGGGAATTCCATGGCAGCAGAGCACGGGCTCCAAAACTGCACAGGATCATGGGGGGCTTTGGGCTGGAAGGGACTTCAAAGATCACCTTGTTCCAGGGCAGGGACACCTCCCATCAGACCAGGTGTCTGCAAGGCCTGGGTGTAGCAGGTGAGCATCAGCTTCACTCCAGGAAAGAACTTTTTGCACGTTTGCTCACTTCTCCTCCCATCCCTCCTCTGCAGGCTGCCAGCTTCTCCCACCCCTCCAGGCTCATCCCACCCCCAATGTCACTGATTCCAGGCACCTCACTGGGCAAACAGCACAAATGGGAAACCCTGAACACATGGAACATCTCCAGGTGCACACTTGTGAGCACAGAGCTTAAAAACTGGACATGCTGGAGGGAAAGAAGATCAGGATGCTCTTGATAAGCACAGGACAATTTCCCTCTTACCACTGCCACTCCAAGGAAGAGTTGGGATGCCAGCAGTCTGAGCCACGATGGAAGAAGCAATTTTATCTCCTAAGGCCCACATGGCTTGGCTGGGAGGACCTGCAGAGAGCAAAGACAATGCATGAGAGAGACACAGGGGCTTCAGACATTAGGGCAAGGTTCAAAAGTCTGATGTAGGAAAAACTCCACTCCTCCCATAAAACTGAGCCCTCTTTAAAATGAGAACAGGGACAACCTGATTTATCAGGAATCTTTTCTGATTTTTTTTTATCTCAACATTAAAGGATGTTTTGGAAAACTTTCCCCTTCTTCCATACAAGAACAGCTGCAAAGAACATTTCCTCCATCTTGCACTGCAGACCATTCCTCATGGCTCTCTCTTGGACTCAGGGTTTCTACCCCCCTAAACCTCCCCACCTCCAAACAAGGCCTAGACATCAGCAGAGCAGTCCAGCTCCTCACCCATGAAAGCAATCCCGTTTTTGTGGAGAAGTTCTGGCAGTTTGGGGTTCTCTGATGCATGGCCCCAGCCAGCCCACACAGCCTGCAGGAGAAAACAAACAATTTGCTCTTTGTTTGAATGCAGCAAGCAAGTGAGCAGAAACAGACACATGCAAACACTCCAAGTCTTTCTCCTCCTCATGGAAAACAGCCTCAGAACAGCCTCTGAGCTGCAGGGTGTGCTGAATTTAAAGGATGGCTTGCACCTTGCAGGCAAGGTGCTGAGGAGGAGCTGAGGAGGATCTGGATCAGGAGGATCTGGATCAGGAGGATCTGTGTGCAGGAAAGTGCAGGGCTGCAGGGAACCTCCCTCTGTGCAGATATTCCTGCTGGGACAGCCACTGCACTGGCTGCCCTGGGGTGCCCATCTGGTTTGGAATTGCAGCTTCTCTGTCCTGCCCTGCTCCCCAGGCACAGCTCCTTCCTGAAGGAGAGGACACAGCTCAGTGTCTGTGACATTCTCACCTGCACTGGGATCCTCTTGGCGATGTCCAGGATGAGCTCCACGTTTGCATAGTTGTTGTTGTTGGGTCCTCCTGGCACGGGCACGTAGTGATCTGCCATTTTGATGTACTCTGCAAACACAGGGGGTCCATTCAGGCTGCAAATCTAACAGCACTCCAAAATCCTACTTTTTTAGAGCAGGACTCACCCAAAAATCCTGGTTTTTTTGAGAAGGACTCACTCTAAAATCCTGCATTTTTTAGAACAGGATTTACTCTAAAATCCTGCTTTGTTAAAGCAGGACTCACTCTAAAATCTTGCTTTTTTAGAACAGAATTTACTCTAAAATCCTGCTTTTTTTAGAGAAGGACTCACTCCAAAATCCTGGGTTTTTTTGAGAAGGACTCACTCCAAAATCCTGCTTTTTTTGAGAAGGACTCACTCTAAAATCCTGCTTTTTTTGAGAAGGACTCGCTCTAAAATCCTGCTTTTTTTGAGAAGGACTCACTCTAAAATCCTGCTTTTATAAAGCAAGACTCACTCTAAAATCCTGGTTTTTTTAGAGCAGGACTCACTCGAAAATCTTGCTTTTTTAGAACAGGATTTACTCTAAAATCCTGCTTTTTTAGAGCAGGACTCACTCTAAAATCCTGCTTTACTCACTCTAAAACCCTGCTTTACTCACTCTAAAATCTTCTGCTTTTGCCCAGGCTGAGCCCTCCCAGCTGCTCCTCCCAGGGCTGGCTCTGGGGAGCACGGGCCTGCCCAAACACCCCAGTGCTGGCAGGGCAGGGTCCATTCCCCCCCTGCATGCCCAGGGCTGTGCCAGGGGAAGGCTGTGACCCTGCCCAGCTCACCTGCATTGGCTTTCAGGTCCTCAGGGGTGACCATGACCACGAACCTGATGGCCCTCTCGTTCCTGAACATCTCGTAGGACCAGCGCCGGATGGACCTCATGCACTTCACTGCTGCAATGCCATTGTTGGCTATCAGCACCTGGGGGCATCAGAGGCTGGCATCAAAGAGAGTCTAAATAGCACAAAACAATCAACAATCATTGAAGAAGTTGGTTTTTTTTTCTCCCCCACAGGTTTTTTTGCCCAGTTTGGGGCTGTGCAGTTTTTTAACCAGCATCCAGCTCATGGCCCATCTGTCAGTTCAGACAGCAGCTCCTGTTTCACCATAAAATTTTAATGTGTTATGCCTCGGTTGGATTAAAGAGCAGAAAGACTCAAATCAAATTATTAAGCATTTTTAAATACATTTCTTAATGTTTTCCAAGTCTGCTTTTGTTTTTTCTGTCTCTAAATCCCTCTGTGTCTTTCTGGCTTACTCACATCTTTTTTCTTATTACTTTAAGCTAAAATAATCAGATATTTGTTTATCACATAGAAAAAGGAAACACAATGATTCCAGGCAGAAGCACAACTTCCAAGCTCAGAAACATCAGTAATTTGATACCTGCAATGTACAGCCCTAGAGAGAGACAAGGCAGAGCTGCAGAGAGGAGCTGGAATATGCTGGTACAGGTCAGGGAGTTACCTTCTCAATGACTTTATTGCCTCCAAAACGAGTAACAAACTCTGCTGGAGAAGCCACGGTGAAATCTCGCTGCACATCCACCTTCTTCCTGTCCCGGCCCTGCTTGACAAGGTGCAAACCAGACATGCTGGGCCTGGGGAGAGGGACAGACAGAAACAACCTGTCAGGACAGCTGGACAGCAGCAAAACAAAGTGTGTGAGGAATGGGAAAGTTCTCTTTGGCCACACTCCCCAGTCAGACAAGCAGAATCTCTCCTGGCCTGCAGACCCTCAGACTGGTGCTCAGTTTTACAGGGGTGACTCCTTTTAAAGTACTTTTCATTTATTTCCAAAAGTTTCAGGTTATCTAGGAAAATCCCAGCTATGCCAACACATAAATAGGTAAAATTACATCTGCTATATGTTGCTGTCCAATACAGAACAATGCTCCACCAGATTGCTTTCAATCCATCCAGAGAAGCTGGAAACAACAGTGATTTCTGGCTTTGGCAAAACAAGCTGCAAAGATCAGGCTCTGTAAGGAAATCCTCTTGGAAAGCACAGCAAATTTATCCCCAGGTGCAAAGGAGACACCCAGACTGGCTATGGAAATCATTTTCTAGGAGTTCTCCACTACCCAGTCTTTAATATCTTCCTCAAAAGCTCTGGGAGCCAGAGGACAAATTAATCACATTACTCCTACTCCAAACACAGAAAGCCAATTTTGTGCCTGCCAAGCCCAGCCCCGTGCCCTGCCACAGCTCTTGTGTGTGGGAATGGCACAGCCACTTCCCCTCCTCCTGCTCCAGCCTGCACAGCAACACCACAGGCACAGATCCCCTTTGGCTCTGCTTTGCCAGGGTTTACAAAGCTCAGGCTGAGAGAGGAAATGCCAGGGGAGAGCACAGAGCTGCTCCTCACGCTGAGTGTCTGCCCTGGTGCAGCACGACTGGAAATGAGGGAATTCATGAGACACTTTTCATGCCACAGGCACTGAAGCTTCACCTCCCTGCTCAGCCCACAGTTCACTCGATTTTGCTGTGCTTTTCCCAAGAGTTTCCCTCCCCAGGAGCACAGGGAAGCCCTGGCAGCAGCACAGACCCTTCTGGAGGAGTGAGGATTGGGATGAGGATCTCAGCTCAGAATGAGGAATTCAGAACCCTCAGGAATGAGGATTGGGATGAGGATCTCAGCTCAGAATGAGGAATTCAGAACCCTCAGGAATGAGGATTGGGAAGGAGGATCTCAGCTCAGAATGAGGAATTCAGAATCCTCAGGAATGAGGACTGGGAAGGAGGATCTCAGCTCAGAATGAGGAATTCAGAACCCTCAGGAATGAGGATTGGGATGAGGATCTCAGCTCAGAATGAGGAATTCAGAATCCCTAAGGAATCTCAGCCCCAGCAGCACCAAGGGTGGTGCTGGTCACTGCAGATCTGTGCCCAGGAGCCCTCTGGATGGAACCTCTGCCCTGCTCAGCTGCTCCATTGAGCAACTCCCCTGGGAACAGGGCATGGGATGCAGGCAGAGCAGCTGGGGGAGGGCACAAAGGGAAAAGCAGCACCAGGAGAAGGCAAGGCACAGGTTTCCTTCTGCCATGCCAGCCACCAGGGCCAGGGAGCCCCAGAGCTGCTGCTGGGCAGGGCTGGAGCATCCCTGCTGGAAGGAGCTGCTGCTGCAGGGGCCTGGCCACAGCCTGACAGGGAATTCCCCCTGACACTCCCTCACAAAGCCCTCATGGCCACGAAGGGTTCCCCACATGGATGGAGCACAGACCCTCCTCAGCACTTCACCAGGAGCACAGGGACGCCCCAGAGCAAGGCTGTCCCTGCCAGCGACACCCTGGGACCCGTGCTAGGTCAGAACAACTCCATCCACTCGAGTATCTTATCTCAGAGAGGAGCTGAGAGCCAGAGAAAGGCACAGAACAAGCTCTGTGTGCACAGATTCGTCCCCTTGTACTTTCCCTTCCACTCAGCTGCACTTCCAGACATTGTCCCCAAACTCAGAGCTGTCCCCAAAAGTTCTCACGCTGCTGTGAACTCAGCCTGGGAATACAAGAACAAGGGCCAACAGGCAAGAAAGAGAGCAAAGGTGTAGTTAAGGTTGAATTTCTACTAAATGGATGCATTTAGGGGGTCAGAGTCTTCCTGGCAAGGAAGGAGCACAGTCCAAGGAGCCAGAGAGGTTCATGCATTACAGGTTTATTGAGAGCAGTCTCAACAAAAACAAGATAAAAATCCCAAGGTGAGGATTTGTGAACATGTTTAAATATGAACTGTCCCACCAAGAAATTACTACACACAAAGATACTGCTCCAGGCAAAATGTCAACAGAGCCTGAGGTTCATAATTCAGGATGCAACAAACATTTGGACATAAGCAACTACAGTTTGATTTGTGAGCATGCCAAGAACACCAAGTCTATTTATTAATAAAAACAGGCTGCACACTGTAATCAAAACAGAAGAGTTGGGGTTTTTTTTGCAGGATAAGATGAGATAGAAACTGGATAGAAAGGAAGAAAGCACAGAGCTCTAAACAAAACAGAATAAATGCTGAGTTAGTGACTGTCACCCCTATTAATCACCTGCTCACAACTGCCATGTTTTGTGGTGGGGGAATTCTCAAAATGCTTTTCTCCCCTTTATTTGTATATATGTAACATACCTCTGTTTGTACTTATACCTCTACATGTGTATAGATAGTACAAGTATATTTATAAAATATCCCTCTATTTTTGTGTGTGTCATAGCCTCTATATTTATATGTAATTCACCTCCATAGTTGTGTATATCTAAAGTTTACCTTTATATTTCTGTATGTGAAATACACCAGTGTACAGTGCACAGCCTCATGCATTGCACTCCCAGCACTGAAATCCAGAGGCTCCTGTGAGGAGATCTCTGAGAAAGTCCCTGTGTAATTTAGCCCCAGACAAGGCTGAAATCAATTTAAATGTGAACGAGGACACAGGGGGTAGAAGTTGTGCAGAACCTCCAACTTGAAGAACCCTGATCCCCCAGCTGAGCTGCACCCTGGCACCTCTGTCACAGGCTGCATGCACAGAGAGCCCAGAGGATAAAATGAACACCAGGAGCTCAGGGAGCACCTCCAGGACAGAGCCCAGGGGATAAAATGAACACCAGGAGCTCAGGGAGCATCCCCAGCACAGAGCCCAGGGGATAAAATGAACACCAGGAGTCAGGGAGCACCTCCAGCACAGAGCCCAGGGGATAAAATGAACACCAGGAGCTCAGGGAGCATCCCCAGCACAGAGTCCAGGGGATAAAATGAACACCAGGAGGTCAGGGAGCATCCCCAGCACAGAGCCCAGGGGACAAAATGAGCACCAGGAGCTCAAAGAGCATCCCCAGCCCAGGGGCTCTGCCAGAGTTCCAGAGGATAAAATGAACCCCAGGAGCTCAGAGAGCATCCCCAGTACAGAGCCCAGAGGATAAAATGAACACCAGGAGCTCAGAGAGCACCTCCAGCACAGAGCCCAGGGGCTCTGCCAGAGTTCCAGAGGATAAAATGAACCCCAGGAGCTCAGAGAGCACCTCCAGCAGATGCCAGGCAGGGGAGGCAGGCAGATCAGTGATCCTTACCTCTGCAGCATGTGGTACCTCATCTCCTGACTCTGCTCTGCAGAATCCTCCATGCTGAGTGAGTGAGTGAGTGAGGAATCACCAAGCTCGGGCTGCTCACAGCTCCTCCCTGCAGCTCTGCAGCTCAAGGAGACGCTGCCAGGAGCCTCACACGGCTTCTCCTCCGAGCAGGGCCCATCCCGAGCGCCCCAGACCCCATCACCTTTGTCCCGGCTGCCCCGGCCGTGCCAGCCTCGCGGTGACAGCGACACGGTGGCGGTGACGCAGCAGAGGGACCGGCCTCCCTCCTTCCCTCCGTCACCGGAGCAGCTGATCGGGGAAGGGACAGCCCGGCCAGCGTTACGTAAGGAGCAGTGAGTAACGGAACGAGCAGCGATGGCAACGAGCCCCACCGGGGCTGCTCCGAGCACCGGAGCCTCCGGGACATCCCGCACCGGGGGCACACCGGGAACGGGCGGCACTGCACCCACGGGACGGAGGGATGCAGCAGCACCCACGGCACGGAGGGATGCAGCAGCACCCACGGCACGGAGGGATGCAGCAGCACCCACGGCACGGAGGGATGCAGCTCCCACAGGGATGCAGCACCCACGGGAGGGATGCAGCAGCACCCACGGCACGGAGGGATGCAGCTCCCACAGGGATGCAGCACCCACGGGAGGGATGCAGCACCCACGGGAGGGATGCAGCTCCCACGGGAGGGGATGCAGCAGCACCCAAGGGAGGGGATGCAGCAGCACCCAAGGGAGGGGATGCAGCAGCACCCAAGGGAGGGGATGCAGCAGCACCCAAGGGAGGGGATGCAGCAGCACCCAAGGGAGGGGATGCAGCAGCACCCAAGGGAGGGGATGCAGCAGCACCCAAGGGAGGGGATGCAGCAGCACCCAAAGGGATGCAGGATCCAAGGGAATGCCGGTGCAGCACCCAGGGGGATGCAGCACCCACAGGAGGGATGCAGCACCCACAGGAGGGATGCAGCACCCACAGGAGGGATGCAGCAGCACCCAAGGGGATGCAGCAGCCAAGGGAAGGAGGATGCAGCACCCACAGGGAGGAGGATCCAGCACCCATGGGAATCCTGCCCAGGTGAGCACAGCCCCAGCTGCTGCAGGCTCTGTGACCCCAGGGGTTCAGTGCATTTGTAGGATTGCAACAGCCTGGCTGTAACAGCCCTAGGCATTGCTTTAGCCCTAGAAATCTCAAAAATAGCCCAAACACTCATCCTCACAAAACAAACCCCTCTCTCAACCTTCTCCACGTCTCTAGGGTACTTTAACCCCTTAATCCACCGCCTAAGCATAACCAACCTCCTCAACAGAGGACAAAACCTTGCCTCTCACCTAACTGACCTTTCCTGATCCAAAATAGCAGGCCCAAAAGGACCAGCCAACCTACAACTACAGCAACCAACGTGGGGCTGTCAGCAGGGCTGGGGAGGTGACAGGGACAGCTCTCCAGGGCTGCAGAGAGGAATGGCAGAGGCAGCTTGTGCAGGCACACACACACAGCGTGACACAGCTCCTGCAGGGGAAGCCCTGGCTTTGACC